TCATAAAAATAGGCAAAATCGTAGAGGGCCAAAAGGTACCCTAAGCATTTTGGCGAAAAGTGACGTGCTCTCCGAGTTTAAAGGCGGAAAACTTTTCGAAAAGGGTTAGGTCAAATAAAGAACAATAGGCTTTCGACAAATGACGCGGTGGTCTAGTGGCTAAGACCGTGATCTTCCAATCCCGGGACAAGGGTTCAAGTCCTGGCAATGCAAAAAAATTAGCCTTGAAAATTTCGGTAGGATTTGTAAGCTTGAAAAAGCTAAGACTCTCAGCTTTTCAGGAAGGCTGTAAATTTGTAAGAAATTGGAAGTAAAAAAAAATTGGAAGTAAAAAAAAATTGAGAAACATTTGAACCATTTTCACTTCATAAAAGTACGTGGAAGTTGAGAAAAAAACGCAAGTCAAAAATATTTAAAAACAAGTGTCTCTTGAAAAGACTCAAAATTAGAAAATGTCCGACTAAAACTTTGAAAAAAGTAAAAAAATTTCCCGTCTCTACTGCTAATGTTTACTTACCTTAATAATTTTTTTTTCACGAAAATTTGACCTGGTGATTTTCTCGAGACTGAAAAAATTTACTTTTTTTCACTTTTTTGAAATTCTCTTAGATTTTTTTTTCACGAAGAAGTATTTTGTCTTGGGCTACCTGTGTTGGTCCTGACACAGGTAGCCCAAGACCAACACAGGTAGCCCAAGACACAATACTTCTTCGTCAAAAAAAAATCTAAGAGATTTTCAAAAAAGTGAAAAAAAGTAAATTTTTTCAGTCTCAAGAAAATCACCCTGTCAAATTTTCGTGAAAAAAATTAAGGTAAGTAAACATAATTAAAGGCGGGAAGTTTTTAAACTTTTTTTAAAGTTTTAGGTCGGACATTTTCTAATTTTGAGTCTTTTCAAGAGACACATGTTTTTAAATATTTTTGACTTGCGTTTTTTTTGTCAATTTCCACGCACTTTTATGAAGCGAAAATTGTTCAAATGTTTCTCAACTTTTTCTTACTTCCAATTTCTTTCAAATTTACAGCCTTCTTGAAAGGCTGAGAGTCTTAACTTTTTCAAGCTTACAAATCATACCGAAATTTTCAAGACTAATTTTTTTGCATTGCCAGGACTTGAACTCTTGTCCCGGGATTGAGAGATCACGGTCCTAACCACTAGACCACCGCGTCATTTGTCGAAAGCCTATTGTTCTTTATTTGACCTAACCCTTTTCGAAAAGTTTTCCGCCTTTAAACTCGGAAAGCACTGCTTTAACCAAAAGACCACAACCTGCGGTGAAAGGCTACACTTTTTTATATTACTTAATGTGCTGAAAATGGCTTCAAATATTTACTAAGACAAATTTATTTCTTCCTTGAAGCATATTTGGTAGGTTTTTCGAAAATCGAAAAATTCATCAAAATTGGCAAAATCGTAAAGGGCCAAAAGGTACCCTTACTATTTTGGCCAAAATTGACGATTTTCGAAAATTTTCAAAAATGTCTTAATGTGCTGAAAATGGCTTCAAATATTTACTAAGACAAATTTATTTCGTCCTTGAGCATATTTGGTAGGTTTTTCGAAAATTGAAAAATTCATCAAAATTGGCAAAATCGTAATGGGCCAAAGGTACCCTTACCATTTTTGCCAAAATTGATGATTTTTGAAAATTTTCAAAAATGTCTTAATATGCTGAAAATGACTTCAAATATTTACTAAGACAAATTTATTTTGTTCTTGAGCATATTTGGGTAATTTTTCCAAAGATGAAAATATCATCAAAATCGCAATGGGCCAAGGGTACCCTTATCATTTTGGCCAAAATTTACGATTTTCGAAAATTTCCAAAAATGTCTTATTATGTTGAAACTGGCTTTGAATATTTTCTAAGACAAATTAATTTTGCTCTTGATCAGATTTGGACAGTTTTTCGAAAATTGCAAAATTCATCAAAATCGGCCAAAATCGTAAAGGGCCAGAGGTACTCTTACCATTTTGTCAAAATTGATGATTTTCGAAAATATTCAAAAATGTCTTAATATGCTGAAAATGGCTTCAAATATTTACTAAGACAAATTTATTTTGTTGCGTATTTGAAAATTTAAAAGTTGATCAAAATTGTAATGAACCAAGGGTACCCTTAGCATTTTGGCCAAAATTGACGATTTTCGAAAATTTTCAAAAACGTCTTAATATGCTGAAAATGACTTCAAATATTTACTAAGACAAATTTATTTCGTTCTTAAGCATATTTGGACAGTTTTTCGAAAATTGAAAAATTCATCAAAATAGGCCGAAATGGTAAAAGGCCAAAGGTACACTTACCATTTCGGCCAAAATTGACGATTTTCGAAAATATTCAAAAATGTCTTAATGTGCTGAAAATGGCTTCAAATATTTACTAAGAAAAATTTATTTCGTTTTTGTGCATATTTGGTGGGTTTTTCGAAAATTGAAAAATTGATCAAATTAAGGGCCAAAAGTTAGGTTTAGCATTTTGCTCGAAATTGACGATTTTCAAAAATTTTCAAAAACGTCTTAATATGCTGAAAATGACTTCAAATATTTACTAAGACAAATTTATTTCGTTCTTAAGCATATTTGGACAGTTTTTCGAAAATTGAAAAATTCATTAAAATAGGCCGAAATGGTAAAAGGTCAAAGGTACACTTACCATTTCATCCAAAATTGCGTTTCGATTAAAAAATGTCTAAATATGCTGAAAATGGCTTCAAATATTTACTAAGAAAAATTTATTTCGTTCTTGTGCATATTTGGTCGGTTTTTCGAAAATTCAAAAATTGATCAAATTAAGGGCCAAAAGTTAGCTTCACCATTTTGCTCGAAATTGACGATTTTCAAAAATTTCCAAAAATGTCTTATTATGTTGAAACTGGCTTTAAATATTTACTAAGACAAATTAATTTTGCTCTTGATCATATTTGGTAGGTTTTTCGAAAATTGAAAAATTTATCAAAATCGGCCAAAATCGTAAAGTGCCAAAGGTACCCTTACCATTTTATCAAAATTGATGATTTTTGAAAATATTGAAAAATGTCTTAATGTGCTCAAAATGGCTTCAAATATTTACTAGGACAAATTTTTTTCTTCCTTGAGCATATTTGGTTGGTTTTTCGAAAATTTACCTGTTTAATTGTACCCTTAGCATTTTTGCCAAAATTGACGATTTTCGAAAATTTTCAAAAATTTCTTAATATGTTGAAAATGGCTTCAAATATTTACTAAGACAAATTTATGTCGTTCTAGAGCATATTTAGTTCTTTTTTCGAAAATTGAAAAATTCATCAAAATCTGCCAAAATTGTAAATGGCCAAAGGGTACACCTTTACATTTTTGCCAAAAGTGATGATTTTCGAAATTTTTAAAAATGCTTTAATATGCTGAAAATTGCTTCAAATATTTGCTAAGACAAATTTATTTTGATCTCGAGCATATTTGGTTCGCTTTCCGAAAGTTGAAAAATTCATCAAAAATTGGCAAAATCGTAAAGGGCCAAAGGTACCGTTACCATTTTGGCCAGAATTGACGAATTTCGAAGATTTTCAGATTTGACACGAAACAAAATTTTGAAACGAAAAAAATTTTTTTAACACAACAAAAATAAGTGAAACGAAAAAATTTGGATTGAAAAAAATTTGGACAAAATAAAAAATTTTGACACAAAAATTTTTGACAAATCAATCAAAGTTGCTGACGTTCTCGTTACCCATGTGGGTTCATTATAAACACACGAGCTAAAAATGCAGTCTACACGTGAGAAAATCAGGAGGGGAGTTACTAAAATCGCAATTTAAATCACCCAAAAGTAACGATTCTTTGTCTTCTAAGTCCCGTCTACTTAGAAAAGATTCGAAATCATCAACAAGCGAACATCTGAATGATGAGGTCAATACCATGTAGTCACTAGCAATGGACTACTGCACGGTCTATTATTTTCTATACATATCATTTGCAAGGGCCGTGTAAGTCATTTCGTTTGCTAAACGGAATATAGACTCCCGAATATACATTAATAATACGCCGCCTCCATATGTTTTACGATCCTTTCGAACAAGGTTAAAACCATGAAAACTTATTTCATCATCCGAGACCAACCCGTTAATTTTGGTTTCGTCGATGGCTAAGATATCTATAGGGTTGTTTAATATAAATACTCGAAGTTCGTCAATGTGTTTTAGCAGAGTATTAATATTTAAGCATGCGATTTTTAACCCTTTAAATTTATTAAAATCAGCGGAGAAGAATTGATGATTATCGTCATTACTTATCTCAATTGGGTCATTCCATATCCCAAGTCAGTCATGTCCTCCTTGGGCGGTTGTTGGGTGTTTGAAGGCTCAGTATTACACTCAAAATATCTTCCAGGAGGCTCAGCCGAGCCAACACGTTAAGAAAATCCTAGCTGTGACCTTGTCTTTGCTGAACTAGGACCAGGGGCGACATTTCCACGTAAGAATCGAATGAATTTGGCTGCTAAGTATGCAGTACTTTATTTAATGTTATAGACTACCATTTACATGAACTATCCTGGTTCCGTTTGTTGGTGAAATTAAACTCATAGTTCTTGCAAATTTCTTCTAGCGCGTCCGGTTGACTTTCACAACATGCTCATCCACTTTTAAATCAAGCCTTAACGTGATACTGCATGGAAATGCCAATTGTAGAATTAGGAAACTTTTTGCCAATATTTTTTAACACAAACACTATGCGATTCCGGCCAGAATTCCCGACATGCACTATGCACGAGCTACTAATTGTTTCTTTGGTGCGGGTTCCTGCTGCATGGTGAGGATTTCATTGCTCGTGCAAAGTTTCAGTGAGAATAGAATGTTCTGCAACGTTTGTGTTGAAAAGAAAACCAGAATACTAGAAATCCTTTTTTATGTTATGTAATACATTTATTGATAAGATGTACATTATACATTCACGGTCAATTCTTGCATCTTATTCACGAAGACCGGCAAGATGTATTATTGGTTGTATAATAACAGCGTTTTGGTAAACTTGATGACTATAGGACTAAACTAGATACATATCAGGTTCAGTTTACATTTATAATTCGTGATTATTTTAATTCATACAAGTTGTAACAATAGAAATATAGCAATCAAGAAAAAAACATTACTAATTTCTTTAAAATCATTTTCGCTACTAAACCTCTCCATTCATATTTTTCATTTGACCTCTTTCTACACGTTTTGGGAATGACAATGCGATGCTCACCTTGATCATAATTTCTGTAATTTTTCCGAGACGAATGTTTGCATAATTATACAGCTCGTCAAAACAACTGTTTTTAGACAACTCTCTTGCCTGGGAAGCGAGATCATACGCTTCTTTTAAAAGATTCGGAATTTCTTCCGGGATAGGAAACCCGACACGCTGAAAATGTGGTTGTCGTTGATTCATATGTTCCTGATACCACTGAGCTAAATGCAAATCACATCTAGCAAAAAGACTGTACGTCTTCCTGTACTTTGACGGAAAAAAGCCGTCAAGGACCAGACTTTCGTAGCAAGAGAGATCATCTTTGGCTCCTTGAATTTTCGCTGGCGTCACGTGGTGCAAATCTGTACCTTCGTCAAAACGTCCCAAAATGGTAATGGCGCGAAATATATGAATCCTTTGTTCCAGATCAGCGATCATAGCAACGAACTCATTTTCAACCTCTGAGGCTTTTACGTGTTGCAGAGCTTTTATGTAGTGATTTAACGCTGAGTTCTCCATTTCGAAATTCTCATCGTTTTGTTGTTGTGAAAGAACCTTTTCAAGAATGGCTACATGGTTGAAGAATGAAGCAGTAAGGACACCGGGGGGAATAAGAAGAGCCACTTGTTGAGCTTTCAAGGCAAAATTATAGCTCGATTTGTATTCACCTTTGGCGCGTTGGATTGCACTTCGGGCATACAACATTCGAAACAAAGTAATGTTATGGTCTTCACTATATCCAGGACCTTTCCATTTTTGTTCCATTTCAGCGACAATTTCTTCAGCCTTTTTCATCATTCCACGTTTATACGCAACAACACTCTCGATGGCCATGACGAACAACTCTGTTGCTGTTCCTCGAACATTGGGTTGATTCTTGGTTGACTTTGCGAGTTCAGTACACTTCTGATACATCGCATGGTTGTGCAAATCATTAAGCTGAAAAATAATACTAATATTGTGTCTTTGAGATGTTGCGGAACTCCACTGGATACGTGTAACGTTTTTTGGAAAATTTACTGGTTTCAAAGGTCTGACGCTATATATGGCCCTACTACACCAATCCTCAAAAGACATTTGCTCTACATTGTTATTTGAACCAATATGATAACTCTCAGGTGGCTGAACAAACACTCCACCAGGCAATGCTTTAACCCAAATCCTGATGATAAAGAGCGAAGCTACCTCGTTATTTTCATCATCTTTTACTGGCACAAATTCAATATTCCACTTTTCATTCTTCTTTATTGCGCCTTCCCGCCAAATCATTTTGCCAATCACTGTTGAAACTTTCGCATTAATTTCTCTCTTGTCTTTTTCAGTTAACCATTGTCCTTTAATTATACCATCATTTGTTATGCCGTACAACAATGTACCTCCTTCATGGTTGGCAAACGCAGATATAGTCATTGTAAGTTTATTGGTTTTATTAATGATTCGATTTGCAATTCTTGTCTTCTTCGTCTTCTCTTCTTTTAAATACTTAAACTGGATTGAATCTGATTCTGTCACTGGTATTGATTTGTCCAGAATAAACTGATTCACTGTGGGAAGATGGCTTCGACCGTCCCCAGGGAGATTGGACATATCCCGAACTTTTTCCAGAGCTTCAGGTGGTGGAATTTCCTCAACTTGCTTAAGTTGTGGAAGATAAAGGTGACTTTTCATGCAAAATACTCTATCAGAACTACTTATCTCATATATAAATTGCTTGCTTGGTAGTTTTGGTAATTTTATCAATTTTTTGAACCAGGAGAATGACATAAATCCTCTTAACCGTTGCTCTAGAGCGCGTAAAACGTTATCAAGTCTAACTTCAGAATCAGTCACGTCTTGATTTTCGATTATGATACACAACTTGCCACCAAAGCTGTTAAGGAGTGCACATGAGCATTTTGCGATTTCGTCGCATTTCGATTTCCAGTATTTTTCGTTTGTTTTTTTGCACATTTTCTTTAAGTCAACAGTGACCTTTAAAAATTCGCCTGGTTCCATGTCGAGATTTTAACCAAGATTAGTCAGTGTCTATCAATAAGAATTGAAAAATTGTTTGAAAAGAAATTCAATCAAAGACAAAGAAAATGTTTGAAAGAAATTTATCAAACTTATCTACTCAGCAATGACACAGCTAGACTCTATTTCATTAATCATATCATCATCAAAGATGCAGATCATCATCAATATACAAAATCTTTGTTTACATTTTCAATTTGTTTTATTTTTTGAAATACGACGAACTGTCTGCGTACCTCACAAATTATTGCTTCGCTATGGTTTTAATAAATGCATGAATACGAGCTAGACTATATAGAGTCTGTGTAAACACGCGAAACCTTTATTCGCAAGACTGTAATCCCTGAAATGCAAAAACCTTTATTAGTTCGCGAGTTACAGTGGGAAAATCCCTAATCACTCTTTTTAAATTTATAAAGAAACCATTTTTTGTTTAATCATATATTTACGAGTTACAGCGGGTAAATCCCTAATAATTTATTTATGTAATGATCGTTTGTTATTATAATATATTCTATAGTTACATGTTTCAAGAGCTTATAAACAGTTCACTTGACATTGATAAACTGTTGTTTTCCACGGCAAACTAAAACCTTGACTGCATTGTAAATAACAATAGTTCTTGTCAATTGCTATATATCATGTAATCATCCCATCACGATATACTTGGAAAGTGTATCAAAAGATTTCTAAGAGAGATTCCTTGTATAGTCAGGTCATGTTTCTTTGATCGTCACATGCGATTGCGCAGATAATAAATTCCAACAATACCCAGGCATATTTAGTTGTTTTAATCTTTTAAGCAGTTTTACTGCAGCATGTGTCAGCGAGATGCGTAAGCAGAAAGCGCGATCAGTCTTCGCTTTAAGAAAATGAAACAAATTAGAGACATCCTTTGCAACACTATTACTAAATAGTAAATATATTAATACCAGGTAGATCAATCACGTAAGCCTTAAAACGCAGCAAAAGCCTTTCATCAAATTACAAGCGTAAGATAATTTCGAAGTAGTTAACTTTGACTTTATGAAACAAAACCATCACATGCTATATATTGTCGGGATGACTACACCACTTCCTTGAGGTCATATTACGCTTCGTTGCATCTCGAAGAGGCCATGCAACAGGCTCTAAATACAGCAAATAGATGGCTTATTTAACTTTATATGGCCTGACGATTTCACTTAGAATGTGACGAAGCTAAGCGTTACTCAATGAAACTTTAATTTATACCTTTTTTGGCGTATTAGCTACTTTTTAGGTATTGATATTGTTAACTTATAGTCTTAGAATGTTGGGTTCTCTACAATTCTCTGCACTATGTAAAAGTGAAAAGCAAAAAGATGTTAATAACGGGTTAGACCATGCAAGGCTCACCTGGCTTTCGTTAATTCCTATTCAAAACTCTGATATACATGCACGTATATTCTGACCAAGATAACCCAAGATACAAACTATGATCTTTCCAAGATGACAACTGTGATTTTGAGCTGGATGACCCGACGATTCTGCTACAAAGGACTTCCAATGCTGACTATTAATAATGCACGCGATAAGGGAAATCCCGGCATGCACCTGATCACAAACATCCAATCACAGCACAGCCGGGAGAATTTACAAAATTAATGATACAAACATTATAGCAAACGCTCTTTATAAAGGCCTGGCACGATTCTTAGGACAAACTGAGAACCAGTCCTGATGCTCGTGGGTGTGCAGGAATTTAACATTTATATTCGTTGAATAAAATTAAAAGCGTTCGTTCTGAAGTTCATTCTGAGATCAAAGTAGTATTTTGGTATGCAGATTCCGTGGTTGCGTTATATATACATATATATAATTATATATAGAATTAAAATTATGAATCGTTCAATGTTATTTAATCCGAAAAAGAATTACATAATTATATCGATACCATTTATGACCATGCGGTCTTATGCCCAGACCCGTTAAAAGTGGCCATTTTGGCAATTAAGTTCGAATATCTTTCCTACAAGCCTATAGTAATTATAGTTAATAGTTATCACTATAGTATGTACTCGATATCCCTCGTTAATTCTTTGGCAATACATCTATTTATACAAGAAGATAAACAGCCGTAGTTACATATCAATTTCCCCTAAAACAATACGGTTATTATATAAACCTGGAGATTTTTTAACTTAAAAAGTACCGTGGTAGTCCCAAAATCTAAAAGGAATTAATTATAAAAAATCATTAATAAAATCAACTTAACTGCTATAACACCATGATAACAGTTAACTCTCTTAGCCAAGATTCAATGAATCGTGAGATAGGCTACCTTTGAGGTATTGAAATGAATATAGGTATAACATAAACATGGCAGTGCTGTAGTAATTCCGACACTAGTATGTCTTGTTTGGTCTCATAAAGACTTATTTCAATACTTCACAATCATATCGTGCTTTATTGATATTAAATTTAACGGCTGATCTATTGCTATAATGTGGGATAAACTGATAATCTACTGAGCGAAATTATTGAAAACTAACAACAGAATTTATGAAGCTATACCTTCATTGCTATATTGCCAAGAAAACCAAATACTAAACTTGGGATATACAGAAGGCCACTTGGTGTTTTCTTCAAAGTTTTACCCAAAAGCCAAGTCATTCTGTTTACACTTGTATCATTATATGGTGGGTAGCGCATCCTGATGAGAAAAAATACACTTTTTTTAATCTAAAAGCTTGGAGTCTCTCAGGTTGAGACCAAAGTATCAACCTCGTATCGTACCTAGGGTCCATGGGCGTCGATCAAACGTTAATTGAGGGGCACCATATTCAAATATTTTTATTCTAGGCTGATTTCTATTGAAAGTGATATTGTTTTCAAAAGAAATCAGCCGGTCAGGTTAGGCAGAGCAGAATATATGAATATGGTCCCTCTCAATTAATGTTAGCATGACGCCAATGCTAGGGGCCATATGAAAAATATAGAATACTAATGTAAAATAGATGAAAACTGCCTATGTGCCCTTGGCCAAAAAGAGCTCCAGCCAAATATAGAAATATAGATATTTAATAGAGCCTGGCAAGTTGTATAGGTAAATTTGTAGGTAGTTGTATAGGCAAAGGGTTTATTCTAGCTATGAGTTCGGTATACGTATGATGAATTGTACTAAAAGTTTATACTACGATAAATACTGAAGAATCTTGGCGTGATAAATATTTTGTATGTAAAAATTGAGTGATCAAAACGTACGAATTTAAACTTTCCAACATTTGTGCAGTGACAAAGACAGGTTTCTTATGAGAGAATTCCTCGAATCCAGCCTTCCCATGGTACGACCCAGCGCCGCTGTGACCAACGCCACCAAAAGGTAAGTGGTCAGCTAAAAAGAATAATTGAAATGTTATAGAGATTCATATATCAAGGCGGCTTTTGAAAAGGGTAAACTTTAATTTCGGTCCAGAGTTATAGTTGAAGACCAATTACAATGTTAATGTGAATAGATTATGTGTGTAATTGCATTAAAAATTAAACTCCAGTATAGAACAAGTGACGATACCTGACGCATGTAGGAGTGTATCATTACCACACACACCACCACTGGACGTGTTTGCTATGAACTTTTCGATTATCTTTTTATCATTTGCAAAAACGTAAAGAGCTAGCGGCTTTTCGCTGTCGAAGAAAATAAGAAGTTTCTTTATACACCCGATATAGAAGTGATGGTAAACAAAATATAAAATATACCGAGAATTAACAAAGGCAATGGCTTCATCTTCGTCTTCTACATTGATGATTGGTAAAACTGGTCCAAAGATCTAAAAACACACATTGAACCCTATCACAAACTAGTCTTAGCCACACTTATTCGTGAGAAACATGTGACCATTGTATAATATAATGAAAACAGAGCAAGGTTTTTACTAGACGGCGAGTGGAGGTTATATATATATTCTTCCTGCAGCTTGCTTCCATGAACTTTCAGACGTTTCAATTTAATAAATGTAGCGGGAAATATCTCTGTTGGACTTTGGATTCAACGAGGTATAGCTGTTGTAATTATTGAAGAGAGCTGCTATTTTTTTTACCTCTTCTTGCATGATTGTATCCGATGGAACAACATCCACAAGAATCGTGGGCGCAATATATCTGTCGTCTTCATCCGTTTCTCCTCCGATCGCGATTTCGCCACTTTCCATTAACTTTTTCAGTCGACTGAAAGTGATTAATGTTTAGATCTAAGTTTTAATAATGTGTGTTGGAGTAAATAATGCAAAAATAAATAATCTGACGACTGACGTACTTGAAATGTCTACTATTGATAATTCTCCCAAAATGCTCAGATTTCTTGGGGTCCTATAAGTTCATGAATAAACATACGGTTAGCATTATTTGTCATCAATACATGTAGTACGACGTAGAACAATATAATGCAGAAAATCTTTAACGATTTGCCTGTATTACTCAGTTTCGAAAGCATACCTCGCCAAAAAATTCTTTTATCGTGTCCTTCATGTTCTTGACAAGTTCATCTTGGACGCTGGGGTGACACATGACGTAGTCTGGTGAAACGCAAGTCTGCATGGCAACATATCATGTCACATGTGGAAGAACACGTACATGCAGTAATAAGTAGTTATTTTACGTATGCATATGGTAGCCATGCAGTGGGATAGACGAGGACGACACGAAAAACAATGAATATTTAAATTGTTTAGATTAGCACTTTTTGGGGAGGGAGGAAACTGAGAGGCGGAAACATTCCATGCAGAAATGTACATGCTCTGTCCCGTGTCTAGCTTTATATAGTTTCATATGAGAGCCAATATTTTTAACAATACTGCATGTAAATACCTGTCCAGCATTAGCAAATCTTCCCCAGAGCACGCGTCGGGACACAAGTTTAAGGTCGCTATCTTTATTTATGTACACTGGACTGTAAAGAAAGATTATTGTGAAAACACTAACTCTTCAGGTCTGTTCACACGATCCAATTTTGTTGGATCCAATTCACTTCTGATGAATGTTTTATAGTCTATTGTCTTGTAATGTATATCAGCAGCGAATCCACTAAAGCCAATGCACTATTGCATATTGGATCCAACAAAATTAGATCGTGTGAACCGACTTTTAGATTAGGTTATCAGGAGCGACAATGACAGGTTAACGTCACCTTTTCCCGCCAAGTTCAAGGGTAATCTTTGATAAATTTTCAGCTGCAGCTTTCACAATGATTTTCCCAACAGCAGAGCCACCAGTGTAAAAAATATGATCAAATTTGCACTTTAATATTTCAGTTGTTTCTTCCACCCCACCTTGCATGACCGCATAACAAGCCTTTAAGATAAAGTCAACCTTTTGTAAAGTGATCATACTGCTACCGCGGTAAGGAAAAATAAGTCTCGTACCTTGTCCAGGTACTTTGAGATCAAAGATTCAGCCAAAGCTCCCGTTTTTGGAGCAAGTTCAGAAGGCTTAATTAGTACACAATTCCCTGATACAGAAAGAAAATAGTTGCATATTTATATTATAAGCAAAACTAATTGTGCATGATTTTATAAAAGGCCCGCTTGTTGTTCAGCTCCTTCGCTGCTGATAGAAACTTCTCGTAAATGCTTTACACAGCTATGAATATACATAAAGATGACAAAACAATATAAATTGTATAGCTATGCTTTAGAAGATCAATTACATAGAAGATTTCTACAGTAATTGCAATTCTCTTGATGAAAAAAAATATTAAAAATTACCTTTAAAGTGTATTCTTTACACGCGAAAAAAGATCAGGTTGCTGCAATATTAGTTAATTAGCTGTTGCATACTATGCTGCAGGAATGAGGTTTAAAAGTCGAAACAACGTTAGATGTTCAGCCGGCAAACGTTAATGGAACATAACCGTTACGACACTGGCATTGCTGTTTACATAAAGTACATAATTTTTGCAAGTTGTTTGCAAAAAACATGTCATGAATGATATGTTGATTTGTCCCGTCTAAACAATGTTGTTCAGCATTGTTCATTTATCAACCGACAACAACATTGTTCGAACAATCACGAACAACAATGCTGCAAGTGGGCCGCACAATATTGCAGCATCCTGCTTAGAACACAGTTAACGCAAGTTAATGCAAGTGTTGAGAGCTCGCATCAACCCGAGGCTCGGCGATTTGCGCGTGCATTTAATTCGTGTCCAGTTAATGTCTCCTACCTGCAGCGATGGCGGCTACGAGGGGCATAAAAATGATCATTATTGGATAATTCCATGGCGTGATGATCAATGAGACTCCAAGTGGTTCATAAATGTTGTAGATTGTGTTCATTTTGTTAAGTATATCTTTAGGAACATAAACAGGTTTCACCCAATCATCAATATTGTTTAGAGCTAAAATAATGTTTTTAAAATTTATATATTTATCACAATTACTACAATTCTTTGAGTGTAGTCACCGCGTAGTGGACACCTCGAAAATGTACATATTTTAAAATATGATGTGCGCAATAATGAAATAAGAGGTGGATAATTAATAATAAGTCCACGTAATTCACATTTCTGTGCCTGACCTCAGCAAAACGCACGAAAGAAAGGTATTTTCACATTGCCATTGGATAATTTGGTTGTATGATTTACCCATTCTTATTTGAAAGCTTGGCAGCATCGTGTGCTTTTTGACCACATGGTCTGGACGTTACGGAAAGATTTTTTGTTGATTAATGTGAAGAAAGACTACCATTGTGCAGAAATTGTGCAGAAATTACTTCTGCTCAGAAATTTTGCAATTAAGCAATAGGTTTTTTAATGGCTGCATAAAGTGCATCTCTTACTGGCTATTTAGGCATTGACAATATACCTGTATAAAAAATCTGCAAGTATATGGTTCGTCATCGGTGTATTTAGGATGGAAAAGCCTAGCTGTCAATAATGATTTTATATTTGTCATTGTTTTTGACCATGCAATAACACTATAAACCTCATATCTTCATATCTCAATGTTATGAAGATTGTGGATGAAGATCAGTGATACAACGCCTCATCCAGCATAACCGATATAGCATCGTGATGCTTGGTCTATGGTCGTGTTATTTTGTTTTTCAACTGAACTGTTGGGTCATGCTTCTTGTGCATTATTATACGCATATATCGCTAGTAAGGCAGTGAGTGATATAATATATCAATCTCATTGCCCAAGTAAGATCAGGTCAAATGTAGAACTGACACCACTTACCATCGCATGTTTCACTAAGTGCAAACTGGACTTCAAATAAAATGGACTCTGCCAATGGCTAAACAGAAAACAATCGGACAATCAGAAAATGTTTCCAGAGATTGCATAATATACATAATTCTGAAGCTATAGTCTACAAACTCCTTAACAATATCATTCTTACCCATTCTTACTTTGACCAAATAGCATATGGGCTGAATGATTTTTTATAGTAAATTTTACGGCTTATTTATGCAGTAACTTCCATCATATTCAGAAGAATTAATTAGCACAAAAGCAATGCAAAGGGATAGGGCAAAGGTGGAATTTGCTGGTGTATATATAATATTTTCCTCTTTATATGGTTTAAACCAAAACAAGAGGGTTAAGCACATTTAATTATTAACCATTCAACTTTAAATATACATGAAAATCTTACAAATTATTATGGACAAGAAAGATGGTGTACAGCAAAGATATTCAATTGTACACAGATTTAACAATCACGTCAACTCCCAGAGGGTATTGTCTTGACTTAATTTAGTTTCAGGTCCTACCTTCCGTAGATCTTCTTGTAAAGCATCTAAAAGTTCATCTTTATTTTCACTCAATAGTTTATGCAACTGGTGCAGCTGCTGCTTACGAAATTCCAAAGATCTTGTCTTACCACTAAGAAATGCTGCATGCAGCTTTCCCACCACCTAAAAACAACATTAGCTAGTATATTATCATATGGCTGTAAAAAAGGCTGATTGCCTAATTATTCTTTATTTGAGATAGGTATACAAAAAATGTTCTTGGCGGTAAAAATTTGAAATAAAAGTATTGAAGTTTCAGTGCAAATGGTTTATTGAAGAATGCACTATTAAATAAATGACATATGATATGTGTCAATTTCATCAAAGTAGCAATCTGCATTTTTATTTTAAATAAACCATTCGCCATTTGGTGGCTGCCCATGCCCAAAGCAATTTTAGGGCCTGTTCACATGGAACGGGTTATCCCGGTTTGCAAGGTGAAAACTGCGTATAATATTAATGAACGCGAGGTTAAGCCTTTGATGTGGTGCGCTTTTTACTTCGCCTTAGTAGCCGGGATAACTCGCTTGTTGACCACTGAACCGAACGATAGCAAAGTTTGCAGAAGAACATTTTACGATTCTGATATAAATAACCTCAAAAAACCTCACCGTCTTTGGATCCATGCTCTGATATCACAAGAACTCTTTATTCTATTTTATAGGGTCGAGAATTCTTTGACACCATACTCCAAAATATGGCGACCGAACAGAGGGGCCGAAGAATAATACAATAGGGCTTTATTTAATTCCAGAGCAAATAATACAGGTTTCGATCAGTGGTTTCGATACTTTCTTTAAAACCTCAGTATTGATAATCGATAATTTTGAATATTTCAGTTCGGTAATTGAAGAGAGATCAGCAAATTAGCCGAAGAAAACCTAATAATTCGTGATCTGATAAGTCGCGCAAATTTGTTCGGATTAAAAATAAAACCAGATGATCGCACAGCTTTTTTGCGACTAGGATCTGTGCTGGGATAGGCGCGGACGCGCGCGCCTGATTTTCCAGGTTATGTCATAATGATGCTTAAGGAGGCTTATCATCTCATTATCTATTGTTTGAATTGCATTCGACCATTCGACGCGACCAAAATGCGACGTATAACCTAGGCCTCAGTCTAATTTACACACCGGTGCGTTAATCGTGCATTCAAATCCAACTAAAAGCTTCATTTCAATAGTATAATTACAAGAGTAATTATTGAAAATTCTGGCCTCTGATTGGTCGAGCGACTTCGTGTTATTACGCGATCGATAATAGCCTTAAAACTACTTTGCAGGATGCTTTCAATTTTATTTTACCAAAACATTGTTTTATTTGAATCGTCATGAAAAGTGTCGAAACATTTGTTTATGTTTGTAAAACATGCATTTTCTACAACAGATTTGAAAACCACTTTTTGTAATAATACTAAAAACAATTATTCACCTCAGGCTCAGTGAATATCCCTGATATTCATCTCACCTTCGGCGGATAATTGTTACATATTCGCTTCTTTTCAAATAACAAAATATCGTTGGCCACTAGGAATTATCAAAGTTGCGTGTTTTTACATCTGTATAGTGTATACAGGGAAGCGTGTTTCGATCAATGGTTTCGATTGTTTTCGAAGATTTTCTTACATGAAGTTCTTCTAATTAACAACTAATAGTTTTAATTTTTATAAATTATATAATGTTTCTAATTATTACACAGGAATGAAGAGATTATGAGTTATGAATATGGCGAATGTCAACAATCAAGGAAGATCGACTGCTCTACAATCTGGAGTATATACCACATATTTTGGAGGTGTTAAAAAATTACTATCAGAATATTTTAGTACACTGGTCATTCCTCAAGGTACGGGTGAATAAATTTTGCTCTGGTTACTGGCTCGTATCTTTGATTTGCCGACAGTTCGTAGTTCGTACATCAGTCAGATTTTTGTTGTTAAACTCAGAAAAGTGAAAAACAATACTAATATAAATGAGACTTTCTATAATGTAACTGTAGAGGAGAAAAAAGGTGAATATGTTCTATAGAAATAATGAGCTAATTTCGAGCTAGCTCATTGAATTCAATTCAATACAATAATTTATAATTGAGCTACAGCGATAATTTATAATTGAGCAAGAACGATAATATGAATGATAACATAGCTGATAGCAAACATGGCTTCACCTGGTTATCTGTTAGCTCATAAATATCTCTCTCTATATATATGATTGCTAAATATTTTAGTAAGTTTATCCCCTGATCTTTGATGTCAGCATGGTTGTGATTTTATGTACAATACATGGTATGTAGTGTCTCATTTTTTCTCTGCCCTAATAGGAATACCAGATTCCACCCCCACCCCTCCTGCTAAAATGTAATTGCTAAAGTAAAGCCTTTTTATGTTCTAGCCCATGCAATTCTTTTTTGACAACAGTAGGAACAATATTATTTGTAGATGATTTTCAATGATCAGTTGTGCCGGAACCACAGGGGCAGCCCGGTAAGCAAAGTGCCCTTTGCTTACGGGGGTGAGCGGGGGTAGCCCTGTGGCGTTTGGGAAAATTGGAAACTGAATTTGCTCTGCTCATTGTCTATCATAGTCTTTTTGTCTCATTTAGTAATTAGTTTTACCTTGATACCTTGATAGTTTTATATGAAAGAACAAAATCTCTTTCATAGATCTTCCAGATCAACATGAAAAGGTTGCAATAGTTACAGGCTCAAATAAAGGGATTGGATACGAAACTGCCAAATCGTTATGCAAACTAGGAGCGCATGTTATCATGGGTAAGGCAAGGCTGAAACCATAACTCATGTATAAAATAGCCAAAACTTTAGAACATCCCTCAATAGTGTAACATGGTTTTGAATGAAGTTATTTCATTATCAGCTTGCAGGTCAAGTGTGTCAGCAAATTTAGCAATAGAGAAAATCAAGAAAGAAATACCAAATGCTCAAGGTACTCACAATCAATTTTGTGTTGAAAAAAATATCAATTAATCTATTCAGATGTTTGTGACCACAACCATATGGTACATAATAAATAGAATATTATTTTGATTTGCAGTTGAATTTATTAAACTGGACTTATCAAGGTTATCATCAGTCAGGGAATTTGTTACACTGTTTAAAAAAAGGAAACTTCCACTACATATATTAATCAACAATGGTAAGAACTAATGAAATAATCACCATATAGAATCACGAGTAAAGAACCAAAAACGTAAATTTTCTACAAAAAGCAGATGACATGATATGCTAAATATTTTAGCGGGCGTTATGATCACACCTTATGAAAAAACAGAAGATGGTTATGAACTACAATTTGCCATAAACCATCTTGGTCATTTTGCTTTGACACTACAACTTTTGGATATTTTAAATGAGTACGTATATAAATGAAATTAAAAACGAATGTTGTTATTACCTGTATATTAAATTAGTAATCTGATATTCTCTTTTCCAGTACTGGATGTCCCGATAGTTTTGCACGAATTGTTAATGTATCCTCAGACGTTCATCGTTATGGAACATTGAATTTTGAAACTCTCAACAGCAGGTGTGAATTACGCACTCGTTAGTCTCGTTTTGTTCGAACTTTATTCACTGACTTTGCTTGATGAACTGACAGCCTGAGTGACAGGGCCGCCCTGAGAATTTTAGGCCCAGGGCAAGTTGCCCCTTATGACCCCCCTCTGCGTGGCCGTGCTGCACAAGTGACATTCCTCTGTTTCCAACGGGTTTTCAGGCTTTTCAGCGCACATTCATGGTCACTATTTTTTTACAAACATTCTGCTTATCGGTTAATTACATTTAAACTAAACATTAAATTTGTTTGCTATAAATAATAAATTGTACTTTTGTAGCTGTGGATATTGTCCTTACACTGCTTATCAACAAAGTAAACTGGCGAACATTCTCTTCACGTACGAACTACAAAGGCGGTTATCAGCTGAAGGTTGCCAGGTTACCGCAAATGCGCTACATCCAGGGATTGGTGATACAGAGTTGTTTCAAAATGTTCCACCGTTAGTCCTAACTATGCAAAAATATTTGGTATCTTGGATGTTTAAGGTAATAAATAATCAATAGTTTTGTAATCCGTGTGGTCAGTTATATCGTAGAAAATATTGTAGTTAAACATTTGAAGGAAACAGCTCGGTCAGGTACCCCGTGCCCTGGATAAGTTACAGGTAACTTTTACAAGTAAGATTAGCTTAGTTTATGAATTAATGCAGTGGTTGACTCTGAATTATTAGCGAAGGTAAACTAAATTCGATAATTTTGATTTATACTGCAGCCGCCGTCAGAATGTGCTTATACAACATTATATGTGGCAACCTCCTCCTGTCTTGAAGGTCTTGGTGGACGTTACTATGATAACAGTGAAGAAGTTCAGTCAAGTGAAGAGTCTTACAATCAGGAAGTACAGCGGCGTTTGTGGGATATTAGTTGTGACATGACAAAAATCAGCCATTAGTAGTATTATTAAGGGAATACAATAAATGTACAGTGGCAGTGCGAACTATGCGGCGGCGGGTCCCAATACAGATTGTCGGGAAACGTGCTTGAATTTGCGAATGCATGATGACTCATGACTTGTTTTTCATTGAATCAGGACGTTTCTCATCATTTGATTAATCATCTTTTTGTTAATCATCTTTTTATTAATCATCTTTTGATTGATCATCTTTTGGTGCAAAAAGACTGCATGCTGCATGATTCCAAGACTCTATAAAGAGATCTTGTTTCCAACAATATCAGCGTCTTCTTATGTCGTTCTTATGTTAAGATTAAGTCTATACGACTAAGCTAACCAAGGACCCTGTTTAAATCACTGAAAGAAATCATATTTCCAACAGCTGGTTGTTTATTGGGCGGCGACGCCGATACATTTCAGGGATGTGAGAGAGGCACTCAAATTTAATTTAAGATTATATGCATGCATAGTGAATGTACAGTAAACTTGCATATATACAACATGCAGGACTTCACAGGAGGCCTTTATGTAGTTATAAACATCGTTTTATTAACGTTTCGAAATCGAAACTATCAACACTTTGTCATAAAAAACAGCTGCTGTATGTTTGGCGAAAAACAGAAAGTCAATATATATATATCGTCATAAATAATATCTTATATAATAATACTATAGCATAGATATATATCTTATATAATAATACTATAGACAATGTATTCGTATATATATATCAATGCAAACGTCTGAAGACTAAATAAAATTGGAGATATATTGAGAAAAATGAGAATTATTTACATGCAGAAAACATTCAAATTTTAAGTTTATAACAGGTATAATTGTATTTATATAGTCTTATAGAGCTATCGTATAGACTGCTGTCTGCTGTTGTAATTATTAATAAACAATTATTGAATTCGGTTCTCGCAGGATATGAGGAATTATTAAGGCCGAGGTTTGTGTTATCTGCCGAAGCCGAAGGCTGAGGCGGATAACACAAACCGAGGCCTTGATAATTCCTCATATCCTGCGAGAACCGAATTCAATAATTGTTTTATTATTTATTTGCAAAAATTTACCTTTCCTTTGATTTAGCCATTCGTATTTTCCCGCTTTTAGGTTTTGGCACAAGCCGCATAAATTAGCGTGACGTCATACCGTGCAATAATTTTTTTCATATCTGACGAAGTGACGTCAAACGTGCAATAATTTTTTTCATATCCGACGAAGTGACGTCACTGTCCAAATTTGGGCAGCTGCCGAGCGGATATGACGATTTCGCCAACAGCTGCTGGCCAATCAAAACTCTTGACTCATTTTCAATAAATAATAAATTCTTTTATTATATAATATCGTATAATATGCAGTGTTTTATTGACGAATCCGCCATTTTGAGAAGCGATAATAACACATGTGCGATTATTCATGATAATACGGTGAAAAATTGTGTTTACGTGATTTTAATAAATGTCCATAAAAAATATCTCTTGCAGTCTCGTATTATTCTAACGATCAAAAACACATGTTCGTTTTATTATCAAGTGTATTTTTAAATTTTTTCCTCCCTGACGTTGTGTTTGTCTAAACCTGCATACCTTTACGTTTGTATAATCACAGTTATAAAAACCTTTTCGGGTATTTCCTATATACTCAATTGTATTTTTTTAAAACTATCCTATAAGGCTCAACACGACCGGCGATTACCGAGAAGACATGCGTGATGAATCGATCCTCCTGCTCTTCAATACCGTTGTGCAGCTAGGCAAAAAGCGCGCTCTATACTATAGTTAAATATACTATAGGCTACCATCGCTCCACAGGCACAGTAATCACCATGCACCATTTATTAATTCATGTCTACATAATATCGCATAAAAATATATTCTACATTTGTGTACAAGATTAAGGTTTTTAAAAATATAAATCTTTAACTTTGCCTAATTCACACTAGTTAATGCATGTTTACAAAATATATATTTATATTGTATAGACAACTATATACTATAATATATATTAATATACAAACTCTATACGATGTTAAGCTTATATATATGTACATAATATGAGGATATTCTTCTGTATCATTTAATGTGCGATGAACAGCTTTGGTATTCAGGTACTTCATTGCTTCCACTTAGTATCCGCAAAGAATAGCGGACTCACACAGTTTCATTGGTTTTTTTATGCGTTACAATAAAAAAACATCGAGATCCTGTATATTCACAAGGTGCGTTCCTCCAGGATTCCTTTCGAAAATAAATTCTCTGAATCAAAGTGGGGAACCAAATCCTAGTTTAAAAGCAAGTTCAACCGAATTTTGAGAAGCAGAATCTTGATAGCATACATAAAATTCTTTTGGGCCACCGCTGAATATTAACCTCCTGGGAACAAAGGAATAAAAAAACTTTAGTTTCGTTTTGGCTACGAAATCTAGAATTACAAGATTTTTTGACTGAATATCTGCTAATTATGTGCAAAATGTGCGATAATCACATTACTTGAGATGCTGAAAACGTAAAAAGGTGCATTTCCTTTACGAAGTAATTTTGCAAAATTTTTAGCGACGCCAGAAATAAAAAGAAGAGAAAATTAGTATAAGGTGCACATGTGATTTTATCACAATCATTCAATTTACTATGTGTATACATCTATAACTCTTCATATAATTCCAGTAAAAAGGGAAACGAACTTACCCTTTGACCCAATACTTCAATAATGGTCCTTGTCGTTTGGTATCTGGAACGCAAAACTGTATTCCCATCTCAGCAATTGTATCTGAGGATGTCGAAGAAAACTTCTCTTGGGGTGAGCATGACTTATTTTTGTTCAACATGGACTAAAATAATGACATTTAACTTTCAGAAGTGGTCATGGTATAGTTTGTTATATAAAAAAATAGTTATTCAAAACATTCAATATTGGTATGCGTATGGCTTATAGCTAACAAAGTTGTTATTCCGTAGAATTCGATCTTCACGTCAAAATGCACTTACATTGCGACGGAAATGTCTTTTAATTTTTAGACAGGCTTTGTTAAAATTTTCCAATACAGCATCATGTAGCTTTCCTCTTGACGCAGTCACGAATGGTGACATGATTATTCCATGAAATATATTGTGTATGACGTAATGAAATACAGTATTCTCTTCACCCGAGTTTAATCTAAAAAATATTCATATTTATAGAAACATATTCCAAACTCGATTTGAAAAACTTTAAATTGAAATGCATAGAACAAAAATTTCATGCAAAAATTACACTCACATTAGTCAATTACACAGCCTTATTTTCCACCGTGATCGTTCTGACCCCAAATCATAAATAAGTTAATATTTCCTACTCTCCTCTTAAATACCATCTCTGACGGTCACTAAAAATACACGTACTTGTTCAGATAATTGAATTTTAGATCTCCAGTATTCTCGGTATCTTTCCTCAATTTTGCCAAAGTCAGTGGGACAGCGGTTGCACTTCTTGATGTCTTAATGCTACCTGTACTTTCTTTAGAAGCATCTGAGACATTCGAGCTTTGTCTTCTACGACGGTAAGGCGATAATGGACCTCCACTCATCCCAGAATGAACCGATTCAGTTTCTTCCACACCTAGCAAAGGTTTGTTTGAAGAACATTGAACTAAAGCAGTTCTGTCCAAAATATTACAACGTCAACGGTTCCACGACGTGCTGTATTACACTTGAACACTTCGGAGGTAATATTATTACAACTCTAGCACACAGCACTGTACGCACAACTTCGCTATTCAGTACACTACCTTCTACTGTACTTACAGTAGACACAACTCTGCGTTAATACACAAATACAGTATATTAAAACAAGCAAGTTACATACCTGATGACTTTATATTTTCGACTGAACCAGTACTCGCCCTGGCTTTACCATCATGACTCATTTTCTCCACAGAAACTGACTTACTGCGCAAAACACTCTGGTCAGCGGTTACAGTCGGGGGACCACTGGGGTTTTCAAATCTGAAACAAATAAATATAAAATCAATTTTTTAATTTAAATTAATTTAAAAAATTTAAAACATTTCGAGTTTTAAAAGGTAATGTTGTATATTTGGAAATGCAGGCAGTTTATAGAGTATATAGCTATATTTACTGTACCTTTCATCACATACTGCAGGAATATCTAAACTCTCTAATTCATATAAGATATTCTTAGCTTGATCGATATAATATGGGTCTGGACCAGGATTACCGTTCGCTCTGGAAAATATAATACAAAAAATCATTTATTTTTTACAACGCAAAGTCATTTCTTTATTTGTATAAAAACTGGTAGCAACCATGCGGGGTCTCACAATCATGTTCCATGTACCTCATGTACAATAGCAAACCTCGTGAAATAAATGGCGTGACACGCCCTTAAATAGGCAGATAACGCCATTCACTTGTCATTTTACGTCGTCTTTGCCGTGTTCCGCACTTAATGTCTAATTTTCCTTATATAAACATTTCTTTTCAGCTCTGTATAAAATTGATATTTTAACGTACCTTTGTGAAATGACACCAGCTTCGAGAATGATACAAAACAAGAAATGTTTCTGAACAGAAAATTAAAACAATGTTAGCAAGTGAAGAAAAACATCCGTCGTTTATCTTAGAACAATGAACAAAACAACAGTATCATCATGGATTTACGCAACAATCGACTGTGAATACATGCTCATATGCTACATCTAAACGTTCTTCCACAGTCAGTATGTACTTCATTAAGTTCATTTATTCTTTAGTACATCATGCATTTATACATACCAATCCCACTACCAGCAAAAATGTTCTAGACTGGAAGTTTGCTTTCAAAGGAGCATCCGAGCATTCTTTTCTCTCTTTCGTTAAAAATATCTGTGTATATTAAAAAGGAAAATTATTAAAAAAAAATTTGAAATGAATGAAACTACTTTCGACGCAAAAAATTACCTCTCTCCAGATGACTAACTGCGCCAAACGTTGCTGCTTTGAAGTTGTGAACAAACAATGAAATCGACAGTAGTGAACAAGATCTTGCAAATCTTCAATAGGAAGATGATTTCCAATCAAAACTCCCTGCAAATAGTTTAGTTAGAACTATGGTAAAATATAATATCTCTAGGATTATGTTGTATAAATTTGGAACGTGGTGTATAGGGAGAGAATATTTAAATATTGAACAACAAAGAATCACATGTATGATGCATTTTTCTGCAAGCTTGTGGGCTAGGAGGTGATCTTTGGAAGCATTCGCTCTCCAATTTCCATTATTGTAAGGAACGCAGTTATAATAGTGTCAAAGGGTAAACATAAACATACTTTGTAAAATAAACATGATCCCAGGACTAAATATTGCCTTCTCATTGTAAGCAATTCAGCCTGTAAAACATTTTGTTAAGAAAACAGGTTTGTTGGAGTGAACTATCATTAAAATATTGCCAATAATAGTATGCAGGCAATAATCAACAGCCATAAATCAACTTGTTTTAAACTCACCCATTCACAGTCATTAGCTTCTAATTCGTTTAAACACGTATCAATGTGAACCTTTAGTAGAAACAAGAAAAATACACAATTCTTCAATACAACTACAGGGTATCTATATATCGCTAGCGTATTAGCTCATTTTTTCCCATAAAGTAGAGAATGTTATTCAACAGCAATAAGCCTTTATTCAATTATTAAAAACTGCCCTAGTTGATCAAGTTATCTAGGCATTCCAAATTCGCTTGTTCAAGTTACAATAACAATTTGATAACCCTGTATACTGTACCTTTGACTCAGAGGGAAGATCAAGCCATCTTGCTCCCTCAATACAGTTTAAAAACCCATCCAATGGATCTACACTTTTACTTGAAGTAGCAAATATCGATCTTGTGCCAAGAATGTATTCAAATATCAAAGAAAAGAAATGTTCCAAACGTAAAGTGTTGCAATCATCACAGAAAGCCCTGAGAAAAGAACAGATTTTACAATAATTACTTTTCATATCCAAATACACAATCCAATCTTTGTTTTTCATTGCATATTCCATACAGGCACATACTATACTGTACGTACTCTTCCTTTTTGAATTAAGCCCACAACATGGAGTTTGACTCAGACAATTTAGACTATTCATGATAAACTACAAGGGTTCCTTATATAAAATAAAATTATTATGGAATGACAGATACAGTAATGGATTGAGACCTCAAGTTATATTTAGAAAATTGACATAAACCTGCAAAGTACTCACCTATGAAGGGATCCAAACATCAAACAAAGAAGCTGATTCAGATTCTGCATCAAGATTTCCATGTGAAAAAGGCAAGCCCTGAGATATTTACAAATACCACAAAGTCAGGTATAGAAAATTCAAAACAACCTCAAACATCAACAGAACTCGAATGGATGGGAGAGATATGTAAAGAATGTCTTATATGTCATACCGTTTTGCTGGTAAAGCCAATACGAGGATTTCTTGTTTGAATTTTTGGTACCCGATATGAATTAATTCTCCATCAATAACAACACTTGTGCTGTAAATTAAATTTCCCAGATGATGAATAGGAATACGCCTTCATTTTGAAGCTTACAAGATTTTGATTTATTTTCTTACCTACGTGGAGACGAGCCAGTCACAGATGTTAACAAATCACCCAATGTTAAAAATATTCCACGCAATGAGACAACTTTATTTGTCACAGAATCTTTCGGGAATTGGAATATGATATCCTATAATAAAATAAATTAAATGTCTTCAGCATATGATTATAATACTATATTATCATACTAGCCCAAAAAGTAGTTACACTGCAAGACTTGTGTGCCAATAAAATGTACTACTGTATATCAAAAATATGGGCATTTCTTGTTTTGGTTACTTAATTTTACCCCCATCAGAGAAAATCTGAGAACAACAAATAAACTTTTCAAACCTTTTCAACCTCATCTTCACTGGATATATCAAGGGAAAGAAACATAGCAGCATGAGGAGTATTTTGAAGTTCATCAAGATGATCACTCTTCTTTTTTCCATTGATTATTCTCAATAAATGATTGTCATTGGGAATAAACCCATTTACAAAAGGAGACTGAGCTGGTGGGGGAGAATGTTTCTGGATTTTTAGTGTAACCTAATAACAAATGAAGAACATAATTAAAAATACTGTATAAAATACTGTAGGATACTGAAGTTGCATTATATGTACCATTTTTATTCACCCTATGTGCACTAGTGAAAAAAGAGCTCAACGACTATGGTATTGTGTTAATTAAATGCAGCGTACCTCTACAGATCCAGGAATTGCTCCCAAAATAGCATTAACATTGTTTATATTTATCTCCAAGCCATTCAAGGCTAAAATACTATCACCTAAAAGAAAAAAATGTTTGTGTTCCAATTTATTCAAAATCTGATTTTATCATTTATCCACTATAGCTTATCTCTATACATAAAAGTTAGGCTAGCTTAATGATCCTTCAGTAAGAACAGTGATGTAACATGTACGTGATATACTGTGTATAGTTCATATATAATATGTACACATATATTCAGCTCTGTTCAACTGGTTTCTATTGCATGCACTTCCAAAAAATCTGTTGCATAAAACTGAATATATATCTAAAAATATTTATAAATGCACACTCATCAATTAAATAGTGCTAGTTAGTAGTTACTGTACATCTCTGAGTAGTAATCACAATACTAATTATCAATTAAAGCCAACTGGTATTTCTCATCCAAGAAGCATTTATAAAAAAATTACATTAGTGTAATCTTCTGGCTCATCCTCAACTGAAATTGGATTTAACAAACTATAACAGCATAAATCTTTATGGTACCATAAATTGTACTTACCAATCTCCAGTTGGTGAGATCTGATAGCAGGTCCAGTGGGTGTAAAACCAGCGATTACAATCCTTGAATCTCGTCCGTATTCATGAGTAAAACTAAGTTCATCTCTGTCATTTGCGGTTACAGACTTGAGTGGAATAATGCCCAGCACACTTTCCAAATCATCTCTTTTATAGGGACCAATCCTCGGTGGATGAACACGTAATTTTACCTCAAACTTCATGTCTTTTTCTTTACCAGCTCTATCTTGATCTTGATTAGGATTATCTTTTTGTGATATACCAATATCCGTCTTCTTTGTCTTCTTCATTTGCGATATAAAATCCAGCAATTTATTTCCAGTAAGTCGCTTATCTTTTATCACTTGACCGCCATTTTGTTGATATTGTTCAGATGTTTGTTTTTGTTGAGCAGTTGAATGTCCTGTATTTGGATCATCAACGTACTGTTCAACGTAAAATAAGTCTCCCTTGTCTTGTATTTCGGATACCCATGGAGCCTTTTCATAGCTAGAGAAAATTACATTGTAATTTATCATCAAATAAAGCGAACATTAATATCAGTAAATAATTTCATGTTTGATATTCCAAACACAGCCTGTCAGTTGATTATTATTGCTCTATTAAAATACCATCATACAGTTTGTTAATATTTGTTATGAATCAATCGAAAACGTTTTACAGTCTCACAGTTGGTGGGTGTTTCTTGGACTATGATTTAAAAGGTAAAATAGAAGTTAAGTTACAACAAAAACACCGAAAAGTATTGGCATTCCAAGACAGGACATAAAATATTTAAATACACGTATCGGCCATACCTCGCATGACGCCTTGGCGCGTGAGTTGACATCGTCAAAATTTTACGGTAACTTTACGGTTAGAAAAATTGAAATAAGTCGGAGCAGAATCAAATTCATGATTTTGCCTTTTTAATAGACTTGACCTTGCTTTTTCGAGTTCTGCAAAGGTGAAGGCTATGAATTCGTGCGTGCAGGTATTGTTGGTATCTTGGTTGGTATTGGTGATTGCTGAGCTGTGGCTGGGGTTAGAGAAAGGTCAGTATCGCGTGGTAGCCCGCGGGATATACACGCATTGATGCCGACAGAATGTATTTTAGAGAGTAAATTTTTACTGAGTAAAAATATCAATCACGAAAAAAAAGCTGAATTATCATTTCCTTCATTTCATATGACTTTGAGACTTGAACATTTTGAGAAATGCTATTATTTCCATGCGGGCTGAGCCAACGGCCACGCGTGGTCATGAATGAGGTCATCAGCTCAGCCGAACGTGTTCACCGCACACAATGAGGAAATTTCATACTGCGAAAATTGATGAAAAACAACTTTTATTTTGCTCTACTTTTTATTTTGCTTACGCGACGAAATGCCGAATTTTTATTGGTTAATTCTTTCAAAAAGCTGAGCATTTAGCTCTTACTGCGCACAGACTTTGAGGCTTAGCCTTACGTTATGATCTCAGATCAGCTCGACGTGATTTCACGTGACACGTAAATGAGCTAACGTTTTTACGTGATCGGGGATAGCCGTATATGGGACCCTCTAGAATGTTTTCAAATACTCAAACACTTTACAATGAACTTTCGTTTAATGCTCAAGTTTGTAGAGCAAGGAATGATAAATACGTTAATGACGATCACCACGGCGCATTTGTTTACCAACCACCGGGAAAGTGCCTCCCTCGGTGAATTCAGCCAGCGGAACGTAGGTCTGTGTTCAAACTGGCGTATCTAGGGTGTTTTATTTAAAGCGTCTCGTAGTTAACATTGAACTTTATTTATTTACCTTCGTAAAAGATTATTTTTTACTTGACGAAATTCTTTTCTCCTTAAACGTTTCTTTGGTGTTGGCCAACGAGAGACGTCGCTCTTGCATATTCTTTCAGGCATACTTGCATTTGCTCTGACTTTTCAACTTTGTCTTAGGATTCTTTAAAAAAGGAGTTGAAATAAACTTAAGAATTGCGCTAATCGTTTATTCAGTATCTTCTTATAGTAGTGAGACAAAGCGGTGCTTTTAGGTCAAGCAAGTAAACAAAAAAATCAAAGAAACAAAAATCTTTTGATAACTTTTTCCAGCCTGTGTGTCGACATCGTCTCTGATAAAAATTTACACCGACCATAAAAAACAAAAATTTTATCACGAGCCAAAGCTTACCAATTAAGGTATACATCGTTTTTATATCGTCTTACAGAGTCTGAGTTCACAATTCAATTGGTGCTGAAGACTATGATGAAGTGTGACAATTTATTCCTGCAGATCGATTTTAAATGTACAAATCAAATCAGGGTAATATAATTTGCATTTGCGTACGTTATAATAGTGTATATACGTGTTATTTTCAACTTTCCAGTAAAACAAACATGCAACCACGTAAAACCGAAACGCAGAATATAAAGAAAATAGTTTGAATCCCCACACTTATCGCATTATATAGCCATGTAGGCGTCATCGCCCGCGCCATAATTCTTGCCATGCAGTCGATGACATATTAATGAAGTTTTTTAGCTATAATGAGCACGCCGTAAACCTGATTGTCCAGCGCAGCGCTTAATTACGTTGCCCAGTCGATTGCAAAAATATCCCTAATACTGGGAGAAAAGGGACTTATATAAGATAGTCTTAAAATGAAGTACCCGTTCAGCTTCAACAAAGCAAGAATGAAATAAACAAAAAACTTCTCATTTTCATGTAGGCGTAAAACTTACGCCATATATTTCCGCAATTAAGGTAAAATTGAATAGACATATAGGATAATATCTTCATCAATTCATTCCTGAGTAAACTCGGTCAAATACTATTCATGTTAGAGAATATAGCATGTTGTCTTAAGGTTTAGCATCTTGGAATTCTTTTTAATCCCACCCTATTACGATGGACCAAAATATTAGTGCATGATTGGCGTGTCCTGTCTATTGGCATGTTCCAAATGTACTAAGAATACGTCGAGGCATTGTTCCCCAGCCTCCGTGTCTAAAGTGATGTTAGAAAAACACATAATCAATTTAAACGTGCGTCAATATTTTCCCTAGTTCGACGACTATTTGACCATGCAGTCCACTAGCGTGAGGTGTTTTCAAACAATGGAGCATGTTTTGTTGTGTGGTTATTTGTTGTACTGGCTGTGGTGTGTTGTTCCAGTATATGGACGTGCTGTATTGTGCAGTTGAGTATTGTTTAAGGGTGTTTTGTAAAGTTCTCCTATGGCAACGGTCGTGCTCTGGCATTTAATGCTCAAATAGATAGAGAATATTCTTTTTATGCAATTATTTAAAGACCCTGCAATAGTATACACTATACACGGTATATACTTTTAATGCAATTCTACTTTTGAGAGATATGAATTTGGAAATTACCAAATTTTGTTGTTTTTACCACAGAATAGAAACCTTTCAGAAAGTCATCTCTATTGTTTTCTGCGTAGGTGTGACTTGCGTCATCGATTCGTCACACAGCAAGTGACTTTCTATTTTAAGTCACTCGCTGCGTGACGAATTAATGACGAATGTCTACTGATACGGGTTCCTATTCTGTGTTAGTACACTCCATGGATGTTTCGTACACTTACATGTTGAAGACTCTTCGATAATTTACATCTCTTAAAAGTATAATTGGATTGCAAGTTGCGAGGAAAGTTCGAGAGAAAGGTGAAAACGAGAACTACATTCCAAAGTCCTCAGTTGAAAAAAAGGTTTTTTTACAACCGTTCGTGTCAGTCAGTCCTCTCATCAACTTAGGGTCATCTACTATTGGCAAATAACCAAATCAATTTTTCATCGAATTTGCGCTCTGGATAACATAAACTTTCCAGTTTCACTTTGATAGGTGTCATTCAATGCAAACGAATTACTTAATTGCCTTCCTAACATGTTGTTCTCCATTATAACAACCTCAAATAATCTTGAGCTTATAACCTCATGCAAAGACATAAAATTAATAAGTCAGTGCCTCAAATTTCAGTTCGACTCTCAGTGCAAAACCCATAGTAAATACATTTCTGACTGCAATAGCCTGTTAAAAAACGTGCAAAAATATTACATGGACGTTGTTAACAATGTTATCACGTGGACAGCACGATAACATGTGAAAAGATTTCTCTAATTACACATGACCTATTAAATGTTATAAGAACCGAAATAGATTCATGTCAAAACATAGGAAGTTGTTTGAAGTGAAAAAATTAAGTATATAATAGATGAAGTAGTATTGACGAAATTAAGCGATGGTCTGTTCGTGAGTGTTTCTTGCCGACGCCAGTCACCACCCCATGTTGGGTAGCTGGGGGTTAATCTGGGAGCATGAGAGATTAATAGTAAATACAGAACTTTTATAAAAACCGAATTCTAGTCTTTCTTTCTTTTGACAAAAACAATATAGACATATAGAAGAAAAAGGTCATGATATAAAATATATCTAGGAAAGATGTTCAATCTTTTACGAAACCAAAGTTTTCAAATGAATCTTTCAGCATCAATATATATGGAATATAAGAGGAAAATATTTGCATGTATTAAATAAATCAGATTAAAACACCTGAGAGGCATCACGCAGAGTTTCAGTAAAGTTAGTTAGTCAAATATGCCATATATTTTGCCCTGTCAACCGTACTGATATTTTATACCCTATATGCTTTATCATAATAACTATATCTATCTATTATAGTCTATGTTACAGAACGCTGTATGTTGATATGGTATAGCATGTGTATGCGAGTCATGAGACACATTTCTCAATCTCAATAATACGATATACTATTCCGTAAAGTTCATGACACACATTTTTTTCGGCGATGTCAATAATATTCTCTACAGTTTTTATCTGACACACATTCACACTTCCAAAATAAGAAAAAATATAGAGTCTGCAGCACAAATCAGAATTGCATGCATCTAAACGCGGAAACTTTCTAATGACAAGGCAATACCTGTAAGTGTTTTCTGATGAAACTTGGTCATTCGAATTCATTTTCCTAGATCCAGACTGCGCAATGCATTATTGTCAAGAATAGTTTAAGGAAATGAGCTAAATTTTGTTGAAAAAGTTGCTACTAATTACGCTAGTTTTCTATATATGCACACTAAATCATACCAATGTGGGTCGACCAATGTCACGAGCCACATATATACCGAACACATTTGACTTTACGGCTTTACGATTTGCACTATAAAAATCACTCACATAATATCACCAGTTGACATCCAAGCGGAAGAAATACTGACTTACTGTGAATACTGAAGTAAATTAGATATGGAGGTATCATACATTGAAGTTTCTAGTCTTGTCTCAACGATACTATGGCAGTTTTAGATAGATGAGGGGCACAAGACGAAGTTAAGTGTCACTCCAAATTTCTGGGTGTTAAAAGACAAGGAAGTTCATGTGGATGGAAAATTTCTGGTCCTCGTCAGCAAAATGTAACAATTATGTAACATAATGGCGGATACGTGATGCAGGTGATTTGAATTTACCAGTCCATGTGAAGTGGAATACAACTCACTACAAATCAGTATTACGATACTTCGTGTATTTGTTAATCGATATGAATTCGTTTTATTATAAACGTAAAGTGACTTCATCAACAACATGCAAACAAATATTGCCAAAACATACCCTTTGGTAGAAACAATAGCCGTTCCATCATAGAATGAGATAAAATCCCGAGCGAAAAAATATAACAAATTACTGCGTGGTGAACAATTCTACTTGTCGCTATCTTGATTCTTTTGGTGCTTGTATCCTCAGTCAAACCAATGTTTTGAGGCAATTATATCATTTTAGCCAGACTGCGTGACATTAACGGGAGTGTTGATAGATTAGAGTAGAGAAAAGCCGGCCACCTCGCGAGAAATAAATCAATGCAAAAACAGTAAATATAACAATGCTTAGTTCTACATCAAATAACTTTCATTGTGACCAGTGCCTTGCCTTGGGATCATAGAGAGAGCTTTACGAGTAATTACAAGGTATTAACTGAGATCTCAGTGTTTATTTTACCCAGTTGTTTTTTCAATCAATCGGAAGAAATTTGATAGTTATATGGACAAACTTGTCTCCTAGAGCGCCAACATCAGATAAATAATATAAAACAAAGATTTTTTTTTAAAGTTCGAAGTATTAACTATCATTCTAAACACATTTTTACTTTTTAGTCCGGTATTAATCAGCGTATAAAACGACATTAAAGGATTGCACATGTTATCTCTGCGTTACTGCGTATAACTAAGTTTCAAAATGTAGGGAGGGTTATATACAGCTTGCCGCAAACAATTAAATCCACCTGGAAAACATTGACGTTCTTCGCCTGAATGTTTATATAAGATGTTTCCGGCAAAAGAGCTTTTGTTAATACGATCTCCCACCAATGACCGTGCTTCCTAGATCATTATGAAGCTTCACGAGGTCCCGTATAACGCCAGAGTAATCATAATTTAATTTTTTTTCTCATTCATTCTTGGTGAGATCAAACATTAGCGAGACTCATCAACATATTTTCGAATCAAGTCATTATCTCACACATGACAACCTTGCAGTTGCATACTTAGCGACACGTGGACTCTATGATAACATCGACATTTTTTTCACCGGAGTTTTGCATGAATATTCGGCCATGTTTGACCGTCGCTGCACTGGGGCGTAAAGAAGAAGCTCGTTAACTGGACGTTATCTGAGAATGAGTATATTCGGATTTCAACTTTCAATGTGAACTTAGCTACTGTCATAAGACGATCTGACATGAACAATGTTGTCAATGTTGTTTGTATGTTATAAAAGTGTATACAGATCTACATCATCTACATGCGTATTAAAACCAAAATGTACATCACATTCATTCAGAAGAGATTCAAGCAACATGATATTTAATATTTTGTAGGCCTTCGTGATGTTACTATAGCCTGTCTTTCTGACATCAAACTTTAGTTTTATGCCTATATGAAAGACAATCAGTTCACCTTTCCGTACCGCAACTATCGCAACTATATAAGACTCTTGACCTTGTCTGTTTTAGCCAGTTTTTATACAAATTTGACTAATGATAAATGGTGTAAAAAGTCGTTAGTAAGTACTTAAAGTTGTTGTCGGCTACCGGCTACGTGGAGAAGACAAACTGTGTTTAAAAATTTTTTCGATAAAATAGGATGTTCCTCGCATAGGCGTTAGGGAGTGGGCGTGGCATAGGCGTAAGGAAGTGGGCGTGGCACTGGGGAGAATGAACAGCGTCCATTTCTCGTGAAGACTCCAACTCATTCTGTTGGAGAGTTATCACCAGTGCCGGCAGTGAAATAACTCTTGCCAATGCATGTCTAAGGACTGTTTTCCATGCACTGTTGCGTTTTTTGTGCGTACGTACACGCACGTAAAAGTTTTAAATCATTTAACTGAATCAATTATACTTATATGAAATCAACGATCGAATAGATGCATAGGGTTGCATTCTGATGATTTGATGGGTTTTTCTGGCATAAAATTAATTATACAACAACTTCGAAGGTTTTAAGCTTTTACGTACGTGCAAAAAACGTTACAGTGCGTGGTAGACAGTGCATGGAAAACAGCCCCAACTGACAGTCAAAGTGACAACGCGACGTCGAGTGAAATGCACCGCATACGCAACTGGTAATATCCGATTTTTAAACCCGGAAAAACTCCCCCAACTCGATAAACTTATTACATTACCAACGTTGACTTTCTATAATTAATCCCCGAATATTTTCCCCAAAATATAGGCGCTTCGAATACACTGCATACCCGGAAACTCGCGAAAAACTTAAAGTCGAGGCGGAAATAATATGGTGGGATTCGATCGACGTTGCGACCATTGCATGATGGTTGAAGGCAGCTCTGTATTACAGCTTCCAAGATAAATCTTTGTAATGTGAATATTAATTAACTGAGGATTTTAGACAACTGAGGACAACGTTTGGTTATTAGTAATGACTAATGAGCTATAGTCATATTTTGAAATATGTTTGAAATGATTAACCCTTGCGTTACCGCAAATGAAAAGGATTGTCTATTTGTAAGCCCTTTGAGCATAAGCTTCTTGTCAGTTTAAGACCCTTTGTGGGCTTATCATTAACGTGATCTAAGGCCTCAAAAAACTATCCATAAATATTTCAGAGCACGTTCGTTAAAAGAGGGCCGTGTATTTAAGTGTTTTCAAAAGTGAGGGCACCTGCACCATGCCCCGCTAGTGGTGCATGGCTACCCTAGTCTTGCGGCCCTGTAGGGTTAGACATTTTTAGCATGGCGATCAATATCCAGTTTAAACACGAAACAGTCGCGTCTAACACTTTATTTTTTTCTGAACGTTTCAGGTCGACCTTTTGATCAAAACACACTTTATTCCATGAAAATCAGGAAAATTAACCTGACATAATTAATTATCACGTCCACGCTAGCATTAACTACATAGTACATTATTGTTATATCAGAGAGTTTTTTATATTTATTATGGCATCACCAGAGCATGGGGACAGGCGACTGGGGCTTTAATGGTCGCTGAATGGTCGCTCAACTAGATGAGTATAATATATTCCGGCACTTCAAAAAATGACATAACAATGAACGTTTAGACTGTCGTAATAATAATGCGTGTCATGTTCCAGCGTGTCACAACTGCATCAAGAAACTAGTTGACGAAAGCATATTAGGATTTAGGAAAGAAATATTGGTGATGCAAGGGAAGACGGGCAAGTAGTACTGAACCAATGATCAGCGTGCAGCCAGCGTCTTCCAACAACTTCGCATCAGTATAATGTCGTTTAACAACTCACTAAAATAGACAAAAACACTTTTGACGTTTTGACCCAAGAGCATATATACTAACTCTCCTATTGCAAGTGTTTTTGTATAGTTTATGGAATTGCTATACCACATTTGATGCGAATATCTGCATATTTCAATACAATGCATATACAATAATACCTCTTTCCTGTCAAAATAGCTGTTAACATCTCAAAGCACCGTACGAGTTCCTATACTTTAAGGTTCTTCAGCTTCGTACGTGTCTTTGTAAGACAAACTTCAGACGAACAAAACAAATGTTGAATTCAACAAGCAAAATATGTGTTTTTTAAGTAAAAATCCGATTTGTTTTTCAGGTTTATTCACACATTCTGAATACATGAGGCTTGGTTGGCAGAAATCCGCAGGATATGACGATTGTGAAAAAGCTGTGATAATTCTGTAAAGGAAGAATTAATGAATTTCTTAACACATTAGTCATTACAAGGAATAATTCTTTCAAATTTTCATGCAATGAAACATGCCACCAGCGTTTTGTTCATTGTAGTCCACCTTTCGCTCCACATTCCACCTCATATGACATGCAGACCTCACAAGATGATAATAGTTGGGCGGGTCGAACATTTTGAGCATTTCGTTTGCTTTTATCGCCTTCTGATATAAACCAGACAATCGGTCGTGTAACTACGAAAATCAGTGTCTTATCATCTGTTATTTTCTCTTTTTCTCATATTCCTATCATGCAGGCTATCGCGTAATTCAATTCAATGGATCATCTAAAATTTCCCCGTGAACGTATTAACTAAAAGGCAGCAGACATTTCTAAATATTTGCAGAAAAATGTTCAAATTTTTGTTTATATATATTCTATCAGCTTCCAATGTTTATACTTCATCGACTTTTTAAGAAGCCTGATTTTTGGATTTCGTGATGAACGCTGCATATTATAATATAATCACTAACACTGTAGAACGGCAGTTAACTCAGGCTTCAAACTATATATGCATTAACTAGATATATACATGCAATGACGGTCTAATATCGCAAAAAAATTGCGAGCCGCCTAGACTCTAGTCTAGATATTATTACAATAGCTATCCTTAATACTGTATCATAATGTGCGACTGTCATGTGCTTTTAACTCTTCTTTCGTGACTTTGACAACAAGAAATGTACATTACAATTTATAAATTTAACAAGTAACTGAGAAAGGTTGAGACTTTTCAGGCGCCGGTTAATCAAACCAACAAGACTGTTCACTTACAGTTAAAAATTATTGTTTTAATGAACTTGAAGCACTAACGTCGACAAGATCAAATTACGGAAATCTTCACAACATATTTGTAAACTGGAAGAATTTTCATGTTTCAAGGAAGATTATATACATATTACTGAAATAAGATAAAAAGAATATTTTCTATAGTTAACTTACAGTTTATGATACTCGAGCTGACGTGAAGACTGTCGTCAAGTCTTCAGAGCAGTACACGAATTCACATATGAAGAAATATCAAGAAGAACGACTGGAGCATGCAGGAAGCGAGACATGTATTATGTATATATAAGACTATAAGTGCAGTGTATATATATAGTACAAGAGTGTCAAATATGGTTTCAAATTTCCATATACCGCGCAATGATTCGTCGTGTTTTTATTATTTATTCAATCAAACTATGGTCAACTGCCAATTCTTTTCATATCTTCATAGATGTTTATCAATAGAAAATTAATAGCATTGTTCAATTCTTTCACAACAAGAATAGCACCTTCTCTGCATACATGACGTGTTCAAGGCAGTTGTTGATATTTATGATTTATGGAGTTTTTTTTTGGAAAATACATTTCAGATATTGTTCTTTTAAGATGGAAAGAAAGATCAGTGAAACAGACATACGACATGGCTTAATCCTAAATAGAATTTCAATAACTTTCATCCTCATCGACTTTGCAAAATTGATGTCATTGTGCAATAAATAATGCATATATGCACAGCATGAATATACGACATTTCGGCAAATTTCTCTAGCCAAAAATCGATGCACTGTATACGAATGGGAGCTATTTAGCTTAAAATTCGTTAGCTGGGAATGGCTCTGTTTTAATCTAATCTAGTAGCAGTGTCCAAAATGCAAAACAGATTCAAACGATCTTGGCAACTTAAATCATTCCTATGTAAAACATGCAATGTCAATGAATATAGATTTAACTCAACCCTTAAGTCAATATCGATATTGAAAGATGCGTTGTGTGATTAGGAAGACTACTTGAAAAATATCACTGTGAGAAAGCATTTTTAGAAAAGATTGTATTACTCAGTAGTAAAGTATACCATTCTGAAAATCACTTTATTTTCCGCGAATATCTTACATTACAAAGACCTCAGCAGGACATCGCTTTAAAAAAACTGGGTAAGCGAAAATCTTTATATACGTTTTACAATACTTGGTCTTCGGGCTCTTACAGTGCACTTGGTCTCTCCGTGTATGTCACTGTCAGAATTCAATTGTTGGTTCGGAATTTGCCTAGCAGTTGCATTATTGCATGTGATGTATGAGTGTTGTTTTAATCAGTTGACCATCCCAAACATGTGTGTGATGTCATGCCTCCTACAACTTTTTCAATACTAAAATTATGTCAAAGGTTTTCCACTCAAGGCTAAGACTATAAGATTAATGAATCCCCAAACAGCTCTCTGGCCTCCGAATATTCTTTGATTAATGGGCGATATCCTTGGCATGGTGACATGCATGCAAAAGCATTGAGCTTTTCATGCATGACATATAAACTAGAAACTACATAAAAACAAGAATATGTAGATAGTATCTTTCTGTGTTCTGTGTTATCTTTTTGGGATAATGTTTTAATGAGTTACAGCTGAACATATGCAGCCTATATATACCATGATTACAGTACTTTATCAAATTGTCTTTACTTGCCTTCGAAATTGTCAATTATTTAATCGTATACGCGGTATACATACATATTTATAAACTATAATGACTAATGTTCTAGAATAAGTCTATATATAGAGAAAGACTTAGTTTTCACCTTATCGTAATATTGTTATCGACGTTAATGCATACTTTGCAGTGCATAACAAAAGATGAATACAAGGCAAACATGTCGATAACATTGTTTATGTAAGTTGAGTGGGGAGGCGTTGCATGCAGACGCACTATATACCAATGAACACACATGTTTTTGTATGATCACCACTTAATTCACTCTTTCACTGTCTGCCCACGGGTCTGACTTATTCTATAGAACATCACGTTTGCAAATAGTTTCCATTTCGTCTTAATTGACTTAATTATTGGAAAAAGCGAATGCTGAGCAGTACAGAGCAGTTGTCCCACTCATCCAGAACCATTATACAAACCTTGCGTGTTGTTATTAATTAAATATTTCAACATATATATCACACAATTGATGAGGTCATTAGATTCATATTATTTTTACATTGCGAAAGCGGTTTGCAGATGTCATGCAGGTTCTGTTTGTTCTATACAAGTTGCAAGTTATGTTTACTGATCGAGGATCTCAGGACCCTATACATGCAGGATTGGCCCAAAACGAACCCCGATCAAGTTTCCAGGAACCCGAAAAAAAAATCATTTTGCAGTCGTGAACCCAACTTAACACCGCTGGACCTGATCCAATTTTGAAGCAGGAATGGTTTTTAAAAAACTGTATCAATTCCTGAACAAGGGTAAATTCTTTTGATTTTCAAGCCGGAATGATTTTAGGTGGGGTGGGATGAAATGTAATAAAATGTCAAGCATTGTCATTGGACGAAGTTACACGTAGCAAGCTTGCGAGTTGCTTTCTGCGTCGAGTGCGTGGGAACCGTTGTTATTGAATTTAGTCTTGTTCATACGGCGGCAGTGTCGGTGGAAGTTGAACTCGTATACGTTTCGTTTTCCCTGTTTTATCTTGTTTCGCTCTGCTTTGTTTTGTCTCATTTCGTTGTTTCGTTCTGTCTTGTTGTATTGCATGTGTGTATGGCTGCGTTTCGTGGTAAATGTACTCTGTTTTATTGTAAGGGCCCAGTGTAATTGTTGTACACAGTACACTGTTGTGGTGTCCCTGCTAATTGTTTTTACAATAGACGAAGTTCAATAAATTGATAAATTCAATTAAATTCCCAGCTTGATGAAAACAATGTTAGCCGATGCCGATGGTTGATCGGATTAATCGTAAAACGAAAGCAATAATAATTGACAATGTCAATGGACCGCGTTATTAATCGATTGCAAGAGAGCACTTAATTTAATAATACTTTCCATGTTTAGGAGTGAAATTTGATGAAATATAACGAAGTGGGATAAAAATATTTAAATAGTTTGCAATTAAGTCGGGAGTGGACACAGGAATTTGAAATATAGCAGATTGTCACGTCCCACGACTCAACACACCAAGAACAATTTTAAATGCTCTGATACAGCCTTAGTGCATGTGTTTACAGCTCCCTTCTGGGGATGTTTGTGAAATTGGGAGATAATTTACAAAAGCTTTAACGTTTAGAACCATAGCCTATACAGAGTATGCTGTAGTAATTCAATATATGCTACTTATATTCATCACAGACACAGTGCTTTTGAAGTTTCTTTTTTCATCGCCTTATTGGCTCAAATTATGGGCAGATCCTATCAGCGGAATTTTTTTAAAAACCAAATGATAAATTAGCTTCAATTTATAGTCACGTTTACCACAGGCATGTGGAATTCGGCCAATTCAAAAAATTGTTCTTTTTTAAGAACGCTAAACTTTAAAAATTATACCGTTTCGGATGCAGAATTACAGACATGCAAGTGTAATGCAACTGATGCAATAGGTGCATGTCATTATTTTATAAGTATATGTTTATTACAAGTTGTCATGCAGCAATCTTCTCTAATAACAAACACATATAAATTGATTATAGAAATAACACTTGCCACTTTTCTAAAACTAACTATATATTTTTTATATATTTATCAGTGTTTAAAGAAATCGTACATGAAAATATAGACTATATATTACAAAATGTAAAACTAAAAGCTATAAATAAAAATTTACGAGATTAAAATCTATAGTAGCTATTAAATATTCGGCTATGACCTCTGCATATCATGTATATCATGTTATATATTATATACAATATCAATAATTAACAGATTGCTGGGGATATAAACAACTCAATTATATCAGGCAGGCCTGCAAGTTTGGTTTTAATGTTATTTGGTATTCTGTCCTTTTTAGCAAATCTAAACAAATAAAATAATGAATTTAAAAAAAACACGTAAGCAACACTGCATGGACTATTTCTGAATAAATTGATTTATCCATGCTCAAAATATGCAGTTTTTATAGATGCAGAGGCTTGGAAATTTTTCCGCTCAAACATGGTGGTGCCTCTCAAAGCATCACCCCATGCCATTGGCTATAATGTTGACTATCTTAATCCTACACGTGTATACCGTTGTCTGACTCGTTAGTCACGCCCTGCCACTAAAAAGTAAGGCAATGTTTTTGGGAGAAAGAGTGGGGCAGTCTTTCGAAAAAGCTGTTGCATTATATATTAAACCTATTAGCGTGGCTTTAACCTTTTTTCTATTTCAGAGAACAAACTTTGTACATCATATGCATGCATACATACTTTGTTATTGCGCCATATTCATCCGTATATTTTACAAGACCAGCTTCAGGGTTGACAAGTAGTTGTGAACCATCGTTATATTGCATCCAGATTTCACCATTTGAAAGCTGAATAAATAGGAAATGCATGTGAAATGACGACTATATATACATATACACGCGCGTTTTTACGCAATGTCTTGTGCAAATGCAGTTTAAATGTTTATGCATGAGGTGATTTATATGCATTGCATTCTAATGAGAAATAGGTATTATCCTGGATGTTTAGCCGTAAATATGTTAAAAACCTGGAGCCGGTGGTATAGAAAGGTAACATTGGCAAATCATGCAGAATCATGTAATTCTGATTTAGTTATATGACTTATAACTGCACCGTTTTGTACTGTTTACGTGCTGTGCTTTAAGATCAGTCTCATTTTCACAATTTAGTAAAACACAATTTAGGTATGAAAATATTTTCAGGTGTTAATTTGTACCTGTGAAGACCATCCAACATCAGCAACGAAAACGCTTTTGAGGACTTTCGCTTCGGGTTCAGATATTTTACTCCTCGATTCCCACGTTGATGAATTTGCTATCAAATGGTTTTTTCGTTGAGGCGACACTTCAACCTCTAAAAGTTCAAAGGATTGCTTTTGCTTCTCTACCTGTTCGTGCAAAAAGAAAAGTCTCCTCGTAGATAATAGGCTAGCTTAACTTACCATTGTTATGAGACATGGTGGGACTGGACTTCGTAATTGACATCGTGCTGAAATCATGAGTCGTCCCAATCTTGCCATTAAATGATTTCATTGTAGATAATTGTGCCACAGTGCATGGTGATGTCGGCGTGCTCGGACCGTTTGCTGATGAACGACTATAGGAAATACAATACTGGTTTAGTTAAAATTCGATCATTGCATTCAAAACATTGCAGGCTTTGGTCGGCGAGGCGTTGTAATCAATTGAAGGCCATGCAGAGTCCATTGCTACATATGTTGTACCATAACAAACATTCAACGTTTTGTGTTGAGTTGTTGTATTTCCACTAACATTATCTAATACTCTGCTTCTCAAGTAGGTTCGCTGATGTTAAATATGAATCATGCATGGGAGGTTATGGAAATTTTTTCCATGAAGTTAAACTTCAGAATATTGTACGCAACAATGGTATTGTTCACTTGATGCATATTATCTCAAAGAAATGCCAACTGGTGACATGCATACCTGTTGCTGTTTCGTTGTGAATGACCACCTGGAGTTGCCTGTGAAGATACTGCTCGTCTGCAAAGAATGACTGGGAAGAACTGAGCTTCCTGACATTCTTCTTCTGCTGCTGTTAACACGCGATCTAGATGCAAACACTGTTCATAAACAGACTGCATGTGTTCAACTGAAGATCTCATATCGTGAGGAATGCCATCTTTTCCTCCTATCGATTCCAAGGTATACGACACTCCGCTAGGATTAATAATTCGAGTGCATTCCCGTGATTGGTGGATCTTAGCTCCTAAAAAAGGTGAATGCATGTAGATCAATATTAAGCTTCTGCAACCACCATTACAAGACGATTTGGTTAAAATACTATTCAAAGAACTATCATTACTTTATCGAAAAATCTAACATAGCTCACCGTCATAAAAGCAAGCTTCGAAATCAGCGTTCGGCGAGTTTTCCATGAGCATAGATTTGGCAAGCTTAGTATATATTGTAATTTTTGGAGTCTTTTTACGAACAAGATCGACAAACCGTGCCGCATATTGGTATTTTTTCCAGTACTTGAAAGGCAGTGAACAGTAGAGATACGTAGCTGCTGATTTAGAATGTGATTGAGGAGGTTCTGATGTTAATAAAACGCCTTTCTTGCCATTCGGGAAGAATGTTGTGATCTTCATTCCATTACTTGATATTCTGATCACTTCTATAACATAACATTGTTGATCTCTTTGTTGAAGAAACTCCAAACAAACATCATTTGTTTCAGTAATGCTTACAACAGCATTTCTTGCTTTTTGCCTGATCGGCTTTAAACGTTGTGCGTTTAATGGTTCAACAATATCACTAATAGATTTTGTTTTCTTTTGTTTTTCTTCATGTTGATCACTAACACGACGACTGTAACTATCACATGACCTATTCATAGCATTCTTGCTGGTCGAAACTGCTTCTCCATGATTCGATCTTGAATGATGATTTTCATGTCTCTGTTTCTCTGTTTCATGATCATATCTGTAGCTATCAATATCATCCTTGCGTGAACTACTCCATTGATTACTTCTTCTTGATAAATCGTTATTATTTGAGCGAGGAGCGTGTTTATTTGCAGAAAATGTTTTTGACCAATGCGAAGACGACGCTCCTTCATCGTGTGAAACATGCTGTAGTTCAGGTGCTGAGGAATGGTTGTGTGACGATGTTACCCTTGCAAAAAAGCAACGAAATACAGTGTAATGAAATGGAAACACAATCATTGATGAAGATAAATTTTATTTATAGCTATTAACAATCAGGGACACTATACTATTGCCAATGCAGTACAGTCACAGGTGTAGTGTTGTGCAGAAGTGTATGATTCAGTTGACCCAAACAGCTGATGCAAATAATTACCATTATCAAATCTTAAAACCCTGTATAGCAAGGTCACTGCATGTTATATAATATAACTATACGTAATTATAATTTGTGTGGCAAGGAAGGGACTTAATACAGTACTAAAAAACTAAAAACACGATAAAGAACCGATAACTGCATGACAATGTCCCTAACAGCAAACTTACTTATTTTCTGTTGATGGTTTACATTGTTTTTTCAATTTTTGAGAGATATCACTGAGCCATGAAGTTGAGTGCAGAGGTTGTTTGCACGTAGGAGCCGTGTCACAATCATATGAGAAATGACTGGCAGATGTGCTGGAGTTATGGCTGAAAGAGGTGAAATGTTCTACCGTTATCAATAGTTACGAAAAACTACGACTATTACGATACTTCCACATGGCAATGCAGTGTATAATTAAGTTAATTCTGTTTGAATAATTGTATATTGCTCGCTCTATTTTGTTGTAAAAGTAATATAATATTCGCTATGCAGTCAGACTGTGAAATCTCACCAGTTTTTCAAGGTCTGAATATTACAAATGAAATGCATACCATTAATGAAATAGGCATATACAGGTAGATCATTTCCATGAAAATCTGTTACGGTATGTTTTTAATAGGGTTATGAATTGAAGAATAAATGCACAACCCCAGTGTCCTTTACACGTCCCTATGTAATTCACTATGCAGAGGTAAATTTGTAATAATGCGAATGTTTTACATAACATCCTACAACTGAACCTTACTGTACCTTGATCGTTCTCTTACAGGGGGTGACGAGGGATGAAAAGGGTTACGTCGTGGCCAGTCCTCCTCACTTCTAGCACGAGGTAAAATATACACTGGTTTAGTGTTTGAATGAAGGCTTCCTCTTGACTGATTAGGGTTGGTAATACCAGTTGGTATGCCATACATGGTCGCCATTGTACTGTTGCCACTATCAATGGAACTATCAAATCGTTTCTAACATAAGAACAAGAACAAAGTAAGTGGCACTGTTATACAGTATAAACACCTATAATGACCTCCAAGAGCCGTATCTGCGTGTCTAAAAATTTACTATATCTTACTTTTCCGTTGCTTGACTGCGATTTCAGTATTTCCGCACTTAGATTTTTCTCCATTAAATTACGTTTTCCAAGTATAAATGGATGATCCAGTATACCTGAATAAGTTTGTTTACATCATTCAGTAGAAGGCAAGAAACAAGCGTCTGGAGAAGGGCTAAACAAAGAATGAACTCACCTGACAGAGGCAGCCTATCGCCAGGATTCTGAAAGATAAAAAATTTAGACAACTTCAGGTAGAGCTGAATCAAGAGTTATATTGCTGGTATAAATTCAAACGAGCTCGTTTTTAAATCATTCGAAAAAGAAGATGTAAAAAACACGTAAATCGACTGGATTCATAGCATATCGTTCAGCATTTGATTTTGAGCCAGGTATTGTTTTACCATAATACCATATATACATTATGCACGAAACCAGCATTCCACAAGCTTAGATGGATTTAAAAGGTCGTAAATCTATTTAATAAGGATAAAAATACCTTCTTCAGTAACTTGGTAATCAAATCACGTGCTTCGGGAGAGATATTACTACATATAATAACAAATTACAATTTTGTTTATCACCACCAACGGAAAGTACTGCTCCAGCTATATAATTATAGCCAGTTATCGCGATATGATGTTTAGAAATGAAGGTTACTATGACTTACTCTGGAATGCTGTAGTCGCCCAGGACAACCTTGTTGAGGGTTCTTTTTACTGCCTCTGTCTGAAAAACATGTTTGTTTCGAAATCAGGGAGTCGCAAACATCGTTCACGATATGATTCATGCACTGCTTATAAACTACACATAACTGATAATGAAACTATGTCGAACCTCAAAGGGAGGTTTTCCCACCAGCAATGTATACAACATGCATCCAACGGACCATACATCAGACTCCATACCATGCGGACCTCGTGTTGCAACCTCTCTACAAGAAGCAAGTGCACACGCATAATAATAATTTAATATTATGTCTTAAACACAGGAAGTCAAAGCTGTGTTGTTGTATCTATAATCCTACACTACCTAGAAAAGATAACGAAAACTTCACGAGGAAAGCTCTTTGCCTGAAAAATGTAGTTTCAGACGGCTACTATTTCTCACAACATTGCTCACTTCGATCGATGACAACACCCGAAGAAAGAATTCAAGACCTAGTTCAAACAACATCGTCATATGTCGAACACATCAACGATAATAGATAATGCATGGGAGCATCTCATCTACATTAATCTATCCTTTCCAATATTTTCGGCATAAAATATTAGATTTTCAAAGAATTAGTCCCTCGTATTCCAAAACTATGTTAACTTCAATACATAGAACACGATAGTAAACATTACACAAGTACAAATTCTCCTTGGGCCGGTTTATCTACTGCCCGTATAGTAACTGAAAACGCACAGTAAAGCGAAGAATAAGAACCTTAATTTAATAATATACTAACTCATTAATAAGCCTAAGGTTTTATCTGAAATTACAGTCAGTACAAGCAATTTCATAGCGTTTTTTAAAAAACGTTATCCCTGATCTACAGCAAACTTGGTTTATATACAGTACATAACACGGGAACTTACGGAGAAATAAAATTCGGTGTTCCGCACATAGTATAGTGTTTCTCATTCGGCAATTGCAGCTGGGTAGCCAAACCAAAATCTCCAATTTTCTAAACAAAAATTCAATTAATTTTTGGACAAAATGAAATTTATGGCATCTTCACGTTGATGCCATATATGGTTCTTCCACATTACATTGGAATAAACTTACGACACTCATATCTTTGGTGAGTAACAAGTTTGCCAACGTAAGATCACGATGTAAGATACCATGAGAATGAAGGTAGAGCAATCCATTTACTACTTGCGACATGATCTTACGAACTAAAAATGAAATGGTCATTGAAGAGAGTGGAACGTATCGAATAGAGTGGGTTTGAACTGGCCTGATCATCGCTCACGTCAATTGCACAGCAGTTCTGGAATCAACGACAATACAACGTATTTTACCTTGTGATTCAGAGAAGGGTTTCCCAGTTTTTTTCATAAATCTGTTCACCTCGCCATTTTCACAAAGCTCAACAACCAAATACACATAATTTGGGTCTTCAAAAAAACTGAAAAGCTGGAAAACGATAATCAATTTTTTAATGTCTGTTTGAAGATATTCACACTCAAATGTGACAAGTTTCATATTATGAAGTGAGTTACCTCTAGTATGGAAGGATGCTTCAGTTGACAATGAATCTCAACTTCATTTTTCACTCTTTTTACTAATCCGCTATCTTTCATGTGCTTCTTATCAATCTAGACAATGAATTGTTTTACAACTTACAAGTACAGTACATATGAGGCAGATGTCAGGAAACAAAGCCCTGTATGTATACCAAGTATAGCTGATAGTTTTTTATTGATTGCTTTAACATTTTCAGTCATTTACTCTCATTATCTTCTAAAATATTCCTGCAAAGACCTAATAACTTTGTGTATTACAAAAATATTTTTGCTCTGGTCACAGAAAATTTTTATTATATCCCAATTAATGTTTACTAAATAATATTTTTATTATATCCCAATTGATGTTTACTAAATAATACGGTATGCTAAAAATATATTTAACAATTTTCTGCTGACTATCCTTTATTTTCTAAATCCTGCATATTTGAAACTGCTATGTGAATTGCTAGAAAGCAAACATTACCATTTTGATGGCCACTTCCCCTTGTGATGTTGAAAGACATCTTGCCCTGTAAACACATGCAAATCCTCCCCGACCTAACAGATCCAATACCTCATAATTCTAAATAATACAAAAACATAAAAAATACACATTTAAATAATAAAATTCAAACGCAGGCAATATTATCCAAATCAGATTAACAGAATCAGAGGGGAATCTAATAATTAATATTATATTTAATAATTTTACATATGGTCAATATTAGAGATATTGGATTGTGAGGTTTCCCCTCCAAACTTTTATCAGTTCCACAGCATTATATAAATTCCATGATGATCTAGAGCTGTTTCTACTATAGTACTATCCAGAAAAATACCACTGTGAGAGGCCATCAGTCATGCATTATCCACTAAATTGTGCTTTCATGTATGTCATTTATTGGGGGGAACATCGACTTATACACGGTAGAAATCATTATATACTAGGAATATTCAATATATGATTATATGTATACTACAGCAGAAATTCATGGACAACAGGTCAAATATGTATCATAATATTAACAATGTTTTATTTGAATACGACATTTTTTGTTTATTTACCATGAAAACGTAAGATACGTTAGGTACAAAATATATGTATACTATAAAATCCTCAAATATTATATATAAAACTTGCCTCAATGGAATCACGGTCACCAGAAGTATCTGAACCAGAACGAGAACAAGGGTTCATTTCTTAAATCGTTTGACTATTTTACTCCTCGGCAACTATATTTCCGTATTTTGCTTTCCATATTACAAAACTAGTATTGCAGTGAGCGAGTAGTTCATCCAAGTTGTAAAATATTGTGTATAAAACTCGTGTAAACATTTCACTCTGATCAATCTTTGATTCTTTGAATCATCGCGCCATTAACGGAAACAAATTAAAAAGCAAAGCATTTTGGGCCATGCCACTGATCTCAAAGTAATCTGATTATGCTATTATGGTTTCGTTTGGTTTGGTAACACTGGGTATTACCACAGTACACTCCATGGTATGACTGACTCTGTTTTTGTCGAGGTTTTAGCTTCTGACTGGCATTTTACAAATCGTTCTATACATACACACCTGTATACATGCATGGGTATTGTACTTCCTTCGCAGTACTCGAAGATAAATTAAAGCCAGTTTCCAACTTTCTACCAGCGAATTTTTTCAGCGGTCTCTCCAAAAGCAAATTTATTCTTTCGTATTTGAGCAATTTCTTCCAGGTCTTCCTGAATGTCGCTTCGCGTGAAAATGATCACTAGTGGATTTGTGGATAGTGGTTTTGGGAAAGGCAGAGCAGCATGGTTGAAGTTTTTCACTGTGTATAACAAATGCGTTATCACGGGTGGAATTCGACAATTCGTCAAGTGTATATAAGATCTATACGTGGATTAAATAGATAGCACGAGGATTTTCCAATGATAGCTAATATCTTTGGGGGTTATCTTGGTGTTCATGACAAGAGTCGGATTTGGAGAACCGTACTGATCGCGGTGGTGACGTAAAAATTCAGGCCCCAAAATTATATGATCGTATTTTTATGGTACCGAAATCCCTAGATCTGATTTCTAAATTGATTTGCAAATTCACGACAGCGTTAGAATATGTAAAATTAAATTAATATTTCTTATGAATTCGAGGTCTATTTGTTTTCTCCATCAACTGTCGGTGTAAAATGTCCTGCCAACTTTCAATGAAGAACTATATCGGCTATACTGATCGAATTTAATTATGTGCCTTTTTGCCGGCAAATAAAATGCAGATTTTGTTTGAATAATATATATACACATGTATATATATAGTAATTTCAATCTACAGCCTAATAAACGATTGATTGCTGCATGCAAATTGTTGAGCCGTCGAAATAGCTGAAAAGTAGTCAAACTGAGTAGTATAGGCTGCCATTTTCAAATGCTCGTGATGGCGTGAATGAACCGGCATTACTATATATAAAGCCTAATTGCATGATATACAGCTAGTCAGCAATCTATAGGTCTCCTCTATCAATATATAGGTGCATTCATAATGCATGAAGTTTCCTTAAACTGCAAGCAGACATTGGCGGTCAACCAGCCCAAGACAATCGATGCCAATTTAAAAAAGACATAAAATAATCATGTTTCTTGTCGCCAAGAACAAAAGAAATAATAAGCAGAAAAGGGATTTTCAAAACTTTAATATAAAACTTCACAACCACAGTGTTCCAATAAATGCCGACAACTTGTGTTGTTTGTGCGGCATATCTGCACAAATTTCATATTCAGTCATATTTTTTTTAAATACGCAATGCCATGCAATATGGCTTAAATATGACGTCGGTGGTGGACAAGAATGTATTTATATATACATTCAGAAAAAAATGCTTTATGTTATTGAAATGAGTATAAATTAAACTAATGAGATTTAGGAAAATTTCTTGTCTAGCAATCTGGCACAGTACTAATACTCCTTTATATATTATATATATACACTTATTCCTATATATATATATATACATATACACTTATTCCTATATATATATATATACACTTATTCCTATATATATATATATATATATATATATATATATATATATATATATATATATATATATATATACACTTATTCCTATATATATACACTTATATATACACTTTATAAAGCGATGGCAAGGCAATTATACTAATTAGGAATTAATTATTCCCAACAATTTGGAGTGCTTTGATAAAACATGTAGTTCCTCTTCAGAATTTTTTATACTGAATACGTTTGAAAAATAATAGACCCAAATGTGTATGAAGATACTTTAAATCTTGCTCTAACTTTTGTGTATGCAGTTCGTTAAGGCTGTATTTTGTCCTAATATTTTACACTTTACGCATGACATTGCGTTAAAAATTGATGTGTTTGAATGTCAAATACCCATCGCTAATACAAATCAAAGGCGTCGAACAATAGTCAGAGTTAATTAAACTGCTGTTGCTGGCGATAAGTTTTAAACAACTCACGTATTGTTGTTAACTAGCACTATATATACAGAAACATCGCGGTTCTATATACCAAATGGGTAAAAGATTTCTATATTTGAAGATATGTATATTTGATATCTGAAGTGTTATTAACAGAATGATGCACTGTGATCTTATTATGCAAAAAATGCATTTCTAGTGGTTTTTCTCTTTTCTTTTGCCCTTTGGAGAAACCCGTTGTATATTGAAGTAAGTATAATAATGTAGATATATCTGCAGTGATATTTTGTTGCAAAGAGGTAATCTTATTACCAGCATTCTAGATCAATTTATGTGCATTATATTATTTAAAAAACGTTTGAGAGTATACATTCAGTGTACATAGCTGTGTTTTTAAATTTTTTTTTCACTGCCGTCTATACTATTTACGACATGCATGTCTATCACTCGTACTGTACATGCAGGTCTAGACTGTACCGTCTGTTGTACATAGCAATGGATGCATTTGCACTGTACCAATTTTATGAGCATTTAAATATGTCAATATAGTGCATGTGAATGATGTGATCAGTGTATGTATGTATGTATGCTATGGTATTTCGCCGTCATTTTCAGTCATGCGTGCATGTAAGCAGCATATTGCTACATTAAACAACGAAGCGAAATGTTTCAATCTGCATCACGGTATAAAAAGTTATAGTACAACCACAGACACCAAGCGTTTTATTTGTGGATTTTTCGGATAAATTATAGTGTTTTTGAGAAACGGCAACCGTCATTAAAAGACCTGTCTATTGATGTCGGCAATTGAGTCAGACAGGAGCCTATTTACATGATTATAGTTGTAGACATTATACAATTGCTTTCCAACATCCCAAACATGTCTGATGTAATGATGGTGATGCCACATTTTTTTTGTTAAATTCTAAACCGAAAGTAAAGGTGAAATTTATAAACAGACTTTTATTTTACGAAAGTTTTTAAAGAATAATTTTGCTACCACGCGGTGAATCCACGCGGTGAGAGCCGTTAAATATCGTGAATGGCCATAATTTATAATTATTATCATAATATTATATTTTACGATTCCTCGAATTCGCGTTCATGTCTTCAAGCCATATATTGATATACTGCATAGTCATATATAAGGCAATGCCCATACTGCATGTGTTGTGTTGTGTTGTTTTTTGATTGCGTGATTTTGATCAATAAGAACACATACTAAATCTCATAAATATATACATAAAGAGTTGCCACAAATCACTGATATTGGCGAGAAACCGACTAAACCCGCCCCGTTTTGCATTAGGACGAACCACAGTTACCGGGCGCGACACGAACAATTTTGAATTTTGCCGAATTTTGAAAACAATCAAAGAATTTTGCCGATCCTCAAAAGTATTAATTACTTCTCCGAGACAAAGGCTTGTCTTCCATGTTCTCCAAAAAATGTCGGGAATATCTTATGAAAAATTAGCTAAGCCTTTGCGAGCACATGCATGATATTGATAATATAAAATATAGAATACGTTAATCCTATACGCAATAGATTAGTGCCGGAGAAGAAACAGTTTTATGGCACCAAAGTTTAAACATGCATCACTAGAACTATTATTTTTAGAGGCTATACCCAGCTAATTACGCTAAGGACGTAGAGTATAAATTGTTATAGCAATATCATCCATTTTCTCTCTCTATATAAATATCATCACTGTGTGTCTGATATTTTTTTTGATATTTGCATAACCACTGAGACCACCGACCATATGATCATATCAAGACTGATATTCAGTAAAGTCATTATTGAAAATTTTTTGACACGAATCAACATTTGTTGAACTGATTAACGAGACGCAAATGTGTTTTTAGAATAATGCATTAGTTATGTGCATCTTCACTTTAATATAGAATTTCAATCTAATTGCAAAGTTTGATATACTGAATAATATGGTTCATTATTAAACGAGACACTATTAATTGTCTAGAAGTTATAGTAAGGCTTATTACTCCATGAATAGAACAAACTATACTATAGTTCATCGCCACACTCTGTATGTCACACTTGCATGGCTATATAAAGGCTATATAAAATTATAATTCCTGGTTATATACATGCATTTATCAGGTTGGTCATACGTTATCGGTGGTTATATAGGAGATTATTGCAAGATTTTCTGGAGTGAACTACTTTTTATGTGAATTGTTTGCATGCATGCATGAATGCATGATTTAAGAGCAATTTGCCTATATATATACGTGCATGGTAAAATTGGTATACGGTGTGGCTATATTTTCAAAAATTTAGCAGGTCTCTGCAATATTATATGCATGGCCTGATATCGTAGATTACTAGCTAGAGTAAGAAGAAACTGCATGGATTGAGCTTCACCAGAAAATTCAATTGTTCCAATTTTATTTCTATAAGAAACAACGATCGTGTCACGCGCCATGAAGCTTTAGTTATACTTTATCTCTGTAATGCTGTCAGCAGTCATCAGTTTAGGTAAAAATCACGACTATAGATGTTTACAAGGTGTATGAAAAAGTTAAAAAATGTAAATTAATCGTAGAAGAGATGTAAATGTACTGCATTATCTTCTGATTACTGCGGGGGGAGATTGTTTCAGTTGCATGCTTGTTGACAAAAAATAAAGACTGAAAACAACAGCTTCCACACTATAATTCTTTTTTAACGAAAGCTTCATTTTCTTAATTTTATTATTTCTATCAGCGGAAAGGCGATACAAGATATTTCCTTGGCGGCTTGGACAAGATATTCAGCTTTACTTTGAGTTGACTTACACGAAAGACCAGCCATATCCTGGCATTAATCATGAATAAATTATGCATGAATTGGAGGCTATGCTCGGCAAAGAGCAACTGAGAACTTTGACTTTGTTCGTGTCTTCCCTATCAAGCCGTTTCGGTTCGACTTCGCTCCGGTTCAATTTTCCCAACTGCTTCTTGTTAGGTCTTTTTATTGCGTTTTATCGTTGTTTAATTATTTCAGTGTTTGTCAGTGTTATATTCAGATGAGAATGCTTCGATCATTGACTCGCTGCCAAGTACAAGTTAAAATATATATGATTGCCACTCTTCACACAGTAAAAAATCATGTCTGGTCTGCCGATCATATACCAGCATTTAATTAATATTTTCTACTCGAACTGTAAATATGCATGAGTTATTGAGTTTCTTATCCTTTTCGGAAAATAAATAAAACAGATAAGAGTCGCATGCTTGCATGGGAGTGAATTAATTGCCTCAAGACTAAGACGAGAGATTATACAGATTTATTGCTTCCCGTCGGTTTAAAGATCTATATTTTACAGTACAGTTTAACTGTAACATAACAGCACTTGCCATCAATCAATCCAATCGTTTGTCATGCATCGTTTGCGTTAGGCTGGATACACATACAACAAGGTAAACTAGAAATTAAATAATACGTTGTGTGGGTATAAAAAAATGACTTTTTAATGAACGATTTTAATGAGCTAGTTGTATTATATACATAATTCATGTCGAAAGTTTGACTGAAACAGAGACAATATCGTTTTGCCGCGTCAATAATTTATTTATTCTTTCCTGATTAATAACAGATATTTAGCACATATCATATAAGTTTTTACAGCTTTACTTCCAAGATGTGTTTTAATGAAGCGCCAGCTATAGCTTGATATATATCCACAATGTTCAATCTCTCCCGGCCACCATTTCATTTTCGTTTCATGAGAATAAATGCTAATACAGAAAATACCTTTCACAAGTTATAAGAAAACGTTTCTAGAACAGTCTCATGCACCTTTTTTACACATGCATGCATGTGGCAATTTATGCATGATGTTCTTCGACAGAAACGTTATTATCGCCTACGGCATACGTCATTGGTTTAGATCGTGCGCTTTAGCGGCTTTCGCTTCTTCCATAGTTAACGGTCGTTCATGAAATCATTTACATATATTGTTCGCACAGGAATTAAATGATATCAAGCTAAGCAGATAGCCACTGTATATTTCTTCACCATCAAATAGAAACCAGACGAGACCAGACCAGGTTAGCGCGGTATTTGTAAGGGCAAGATGATAAATTATTCAACGATTATGAATTCAGAAGATCGGATGCTAAATTATTAAAACAGTGAAAAATAAATGAACAGTATAGAGATAAGATATTAATGCGTGAATATACATATCATATCGTTCGTAGTTAAAAAATAATTATGCATTTCTAATGAGAGATATATACAGCAGGTGCTTTTCCACTTGAGCCTTCGCATCATATAACATCGTGTTTTATTGTTTCATTTTTCATATTTAGCCATACTGACGGCAAGCTAGTATTCTTTCAGATACCTCAAAACGCGAGATGCGTACCTGATTGCTGACGATTGGAAAAAGAGAATCCGTATACGCGTAAGTTCATACTTCATTTACCAACTTATTCTTATGGAAATCCTCTAAAGCTGAAGAGCGAGCGGATAACAATAAAAAAAAACATATATGCATGTATTGAACATTCATGCATGTACCGGCTTTTTAGCCTTTCAAAGTTTCAGTAGTCATATAGACATGATAAAAAGGTACGTAAATGCGAAATTTTGAGGGATGACTATAATTAATGTCTATAAATGTATTGTAGATCAATCTGAGGGAACCAAAACAGTACCGAGCGCATTTTCAATTAATCACTCACTCCTTATACAAATCCTTCACAAAGTAGCTTAAAAAAACTTATCTTTATCTACTATATGTCTTTATGATTTAAACCATGCAGTATTGACAGTATTGTAAACCATGCTTTATCGAATGCATACAATGTGCACGATGCCGGATACTGATCTGAACACTGAAGTCCGCGGTTATAAGGCTGTGCAAACTAACCGATCCGGGATGTAATTCAGTTTTTTTATGTGCAAACACGCTTCAATTTCACCCCGGCAAGACTAACCGAAGTCTTAAAGAGAGATTGAAACTAAGCCAAAAAAATCATACTTGAAACAAAGTGATACAAGTTGGTTTGTGTAATGCAGAAGGGGCTGTATATGTATTCTGACTGTTGATAAAAAACTTTCTATTTTGACAAAACTCGAGTAAAAAGCAACAGGGGTCGTTATATTAAGCCCGTTTAGCTTAAACGGTGGTTAAGATGAAAATAGCAATTCTGTCGTTTTATTCAACAAGGTAACTAAAAGCTTTTGATTTTAATACAACCATACTGTTTACAACTACATATTCGGTGCATAATATTCAAGTTGACTCATTCAAGAGAGATGTAAGAGTGTTATATATTTAATTTTGACTTATTCACCGTTTAAGCTAAACGGGCTTGATACAACTGGTCCCAGTGCCATAAAGGTGATAGTGTGGTTTAAATTCTTGAGCGTTCCGGAAAATTAAAACGAGACCGGCCGGACGTTTAAGGCAAAGGTTTTCCTTTAAAGGTTATACTATATAAGTCGGAGAAAAAATACATACCTTGCATGGTTGTTAATACATAGAGACAATGACTTTAAAAAAAATCACACCAGGTGGATTTAATCAAAACAAATTACGCAGAATAAACAAGAGTGGAAAATATGTTGTTAGAAAATAATTGCGTCTAATAGAAAAATGCAAAAGCAATAAAAAGTGACAAAGAATGCATGTATAGAATATTACCGACAACAGTTCAACATTTAAAACTCAAACCAAACTGACTTCAAAGCTGAGAGAAACTCAGTCAGTAATTATACACCACGGTATATGCTCTGAACTCCGGAAATGAGATGTCGCATCTCCCATCCGCGGCTATCATTCATTTCTAGCAATTTAATAGGAAAATTTGATAAAAAATAATTAAGAGCATTAAATTTAGCTTCGGTTTCAGTTCATGAGGCTCTTTCCCAATATCGTTTCGATAATTCGTTACCTCAAGTAGAAATATAAAATATGACGTATATAATCTACTCACAATCACAAGATTAATATGAATAATCTCCTTTATAGGTTAGACGCCGTTCGCTTTTCAAGTGAGGAACGACACGATGAATTTGACAGGCAACGATACATTTCCAAAATCAACACATCGAAATGCAGACATACCATTGCAAGATCAAGTCTGGTTTAGCGTCATTGGATACATTCTTTTTGGGGCAGCTTTCATTATTAGTATTTGTGGAAACTCTCTGTGTGCCTATATCATATCAACCCGATTTAGAATGAAAAGTGTCACAAATCTTTTTATTCTTAATCTAGCAATTGGAGATCTAATTTATACTTTTTCAATACCATTTGATTTGGCCATTACAGAAAATAACCAGAAGTGGATATTTCACCGGTATTTTTGCCATATTTTATCACCAGTTCAAACTATCTCCATGTTCTCTTCGCTTTTGACGCTAACAATATTGAGTTTAACAAGATACAGGGCAATCATCCACCCATTGAAAAGACAAATTGAGGCAAACACTGCGAAATTTTGCATTGTTCTAATTTGGGTGGTTTCTGCGCTTACAGCCCTACCTCAGGTTTACTATCAAAGAGTTAATGATGATGGTAAATGTGAAGAAGAATGGGAAAGTCATCAATCGGCAAAGAAAGTTTACACTGCAGTTTTGTTTGGTGTACAGTATGTTATACCTTTGACCATCATGTTAATAGCATATGGACGTATTGGGGTGGAACTCTCGAAACCATCGCCGGGTGAGAATACTTTGATACAAGAAGAAAGAGGAAAGGAGGCTAAGAAAGTTGTTTCTATGCTTATTACAGTGACGGCAACGTTTGCTATTTGTACTTTACCGACTTCGATTATGTGGCTTTGGTTGGACTTTGGAAATGCTGACGACACATTTGCTGATTTTTGGAATGTCTTGCAGATCTTGTACTTCTTCGATTTCGTGAATCTGGCGGCTCATCCAATTATTTATGTGTATTTCAGCAAAAATTTCAGAAGTGAAATGAAGGCGACGTTTCAAAGAAAAAAGCACCAAGCAGAACATGTCGGAACAATAGGACATTTAACAAAACATTCGCTGATGTCAACCAATGTTTAACCTAAACTCCGAACAAAGAGAACAAATTTGAACCATATGAGGGCAATGCATGCATGTTATCTGCCATGCAGGCAGTATAGAAGTATAGAACCAGAAGATCGAGACAATCAACTAATTAATGTTACTTCGTGTCACAAGATCTATGCAAATGGTAATTTAACTTGTGCTGCCATATGCCATGTTATTGTCAGGTCAGCGTAACAATCTCCGAGTTGAACAGTTTAAACTAGCGATATTGGCGGTGGACGCTGTAGCTGCCTTAAGACTGAGATAATAGCTTTGGACACTAGTTAATAGTTTTTGCTTACCGATTACGGATTATATCCACTCCTTATTCATGCATTTAATATTAATACGAACATTCTGTTCGAGTTTCCCACACACATTTATTAGGAAAAAAAATAGTTTAGAATTGCGTGCTTCTGTAGTTCACCAGGGGCAAATACCGCATATTGTACGCACCAAAACTAGTGTAATGTTGTGTCGATCAAGTGAAATAATGTAAATATAAATTTGCGTACATTGTTGTATGAATAAAGGATATGAACATTGGTTTTGTGAAATTTTACAAATGATTATCAGCAAATCAAGAGAAAAGAGCGATATGTTCACCTAAAGTGTTAGCATGCATGTATAGGAAAGTGTCAAGTCTTCCTAAATGAGCTGAAACTAGAATAAATTAGACCGTTCAAACAATAAAAAAACCCCGCGAATTAATAAGGACTTTTGGCGGTATTATTTAACAACAAAGGCTGAGAGCGTTTATTCTCCAAATTTTGTTAATTGATCTCAAAATTTTTGCCGTCGCTTTTGGCTTTATTTTAACACAAGCTGCGACATGAAAGGAGTTGTAATGATTTAAAATGTTCTTCTCGCGGTAGCGTTAATCGGTCAAAAACAATGAAGAACTGAGAACTATCAAAACGACGCGTGAATTTCTCCGGCTGTGCCGACGTGAACGTGAATGGGTTGTTGACTTGTTGTGCGCGGCTCCGACGTAAACACAACCGTTACATATATACTAATAGCCAGCTATACATTTATCATTTTTCTTCAACACATGCATGCAGCTCTAGTCTTGTTATTTAATTATCTTTTGAGTTTCTTAACTTCGTAGAAACTATTCTTTGGCCCAGAAAGATCTTTTCCTGTCACCAAGCAAGAAAACATAAACAAAAATTAAAGAGCTCAATACTTGATTTGTGAATATAATTAAGATTAATTATTTTCATTCCAGGAGGTCTGAACAGATCATTGAATATACACAGTTTTTAAACGGTGAAAATATGTTTACATACACGATTCATGTTTTAAAAGTATCGAGGAAGATGGATCAACTGTTGTTTTCTCAAGACATGGTTCTTCACCCGTCTCATGCCCTTCATGACTCGGGGCTGAATCTGCGGAGAAAGTCCTGTCTGATGTCCAAAATAGTTTTATTTTCATTTTGCTGAGATAACGGCAAAATTCTCGTCGAAAATCTTCGTTACATGAAAGGTATATACACGGGTTTACGGCTGCGTTTCCAAAATCCAAAATATTGAAAAATACAATAATATCGTCGAATTGCGATGATTTTGCGGAACCGAAGTCTTTAATCAGCCACAAAATTGATGTAGGCAAGTTACAAAACGCAAATGCTGCTGTTATGACAATCAACATTCGGATTACTTTAGTTGATTCCTCGTTTCTTGTTCGTTCCAAGATGCGATTTTCACTTCTGTGACTTCCTTTCTTTAATTCAATTCCAACCATTGTGTACGCGAGAGTAATTGCAGTAAGTGGAAGGACGAATTGTGCGAAAAACAAGACCAAGGTGTATGTTTTCCGTGCATTTTCAGTTGGCCAGGTTTCATTACAAATATGATCCTTTGTGATTCTAAGATATATTGCATAGGGCAGCACCACAACTATCCCTAACAACCAAATAACTACAAGTGATACTTTAACTTGAGCAATAGATAGTTGACGACGTAAAGGAAAAACCACGGCCCAAAAACGAGACAAGGCCAGTGCCATTAATGTGAAAGCAGACACACAAATAGACAATGTCATAAGTGGATACAATAGGTTACAAAAGAAATGTGCAAACGGCCATGTTGTTGTTTCAGTTATGACAATATCCAAAGGAACGTATAACGTATATAAAACATCGGAAATAGCTAGGTTTAGGATGAGAAAATTTGTGATAGTCTTCATTTTCCTTCGGCGAGTTATTATTAAACAGACCATAATATTTCCTGGCATACTTATGAGGAATATTAATCCATACAATGTATATTTCAACGCTCGAAACCACGCCACATCTGCTATGCTACTTGGTTCAATGGTGGTTAATGTTCCACTGATGGTGGTTGATGTTTGGTTATTCAGATCTCCATCCATGGTACTTGTAATATTCATCAAAAAGTTTCTGTGAAGAAACGAAATAGAGCATGGAATTACATGTTATCGTGAAATTGTGCAATATACGAGTATACTGTTTAAAACAAATCTTGCGTTACGACGGTTACGTCGGGCCCAGCATGCATTCCAGCTAAAAATGCATATATATACGGCAATTATGTTCGTTATTAGACTAAGTATAAGAAAAGATACAACAAGATAATGAGTATATTGTTAATAAAAATTTTAGCCAAAAGCATTCGGATATATTAGTAGTTGTGGCAGTCAATTGCATAGCCTATATACATGCAAGATGGAGATCTTTTTATAACCGAACATTATTTAACTTGAAAAAATGAACAGCAGATCGAAGGAATATTTTTACTCACCATGCAACATTTCACTCTAAATTTTCATGACATTTATATTATGATTTTTTAGAATCCCATTGACATTGTTTCTGGTTTTTTCTGCATGGCAAAACCAGACTGAATATTGAATATATATCCGTTCTCTACTCACTCTAGCTCACCGAGCTTAACAAACACGAAAAACACATTTCAGTCTATATATCGTCATGCAGATATATACGTTAAAAGGTCATTTTAAATGACGTCAAAAACCTGACAATTGTATATAATTGTACACTATTTGCGGTTTTAAAAGCGGTGGTATATATACTGAGTTAATTTAATGATTTGTTTGACGCAATATTGACCGTTTTTAACTGTATAGTCTATTAGGATATTGATAAATAATATCGCACTGGCCACGATTTCATTAAGAATATATACCTTAAATTGAAAATAAACACTAAAGCTAGCTAAATAGTTATATAGCTATGATATATATGGTTAAACCACAAAAATAAACGGTTATAGCAATAAACAAACTACGATTTGTCCAACAGCCTACGGTGCAGTAATTGACAACACTGATCGTCCATTATCTTACATGGCTCAAAAATCCATATGGTCACAACAGGGTGTGGAAACTGTTTGTTTTTTATATATGTTTGGAAATGTAGAACGATTTTTTTTTCTCGTTTCGGCATGATTATAAAACATTGTTTATGTATATCATGATAAGAATTTTTTTTTTGAAACTGTATCTTGAAAACATGCACACAAACATCTATATTAGAATATTAAGTGTTATAATACAATGATGTGAGACGTGACTTATTTATTTATAACAAGGAATTTTTGTTTGAAATTTGTTATAGCAAGCATGCATTCAGTGTATAGTGCATGAGACATGCAATTAAGCGACTGCTTAATTGTTACTTATCCAACCCTTTACTATAAGTATAAGCTCTATATTTATAGGGTCCAGAAGTGTATATACCAAAATATATTGAACCGCAGATATCTATATCTGTATGTCATACATGCATGCATGCAATAAACCTTCAAATTGGAAAAGAGGTCTATAGACAATCCATATGCTTTTTGTCTTTCAGTGCCAGCAAATTGACTTATATGATAGATATGAATGTTTCCATATATGCACATGCCGGAAATCGAAGCGCGGAATATTGAGTTAGTAATATTTGTTTCTTCGAAAATAAAAGACCAATTTTCATTTTTATTCTTAGACGGCTCAATATATATAGGCTACAGCAACAGTATAGTGCATGACACTTGTTTTTTATATTGAGACGCATTTCTTCACAAAGTTGTATATACAGGCATGTTGTTATCAATAGTGTTTACGCCAGCGTGCATTAGACACTTGTAAGATTTTGATGCGATTCCAGTAAAGACAAGACTGTAAAATTCCATCATGCGTAAAAAAACTACTGAGAACATGAGAAAGAACGCGTAGCCGGGGTGCGATTATGCGGGTTAGTCAAACTGAACTCGATAGTTTTGTTTCTTTTACTCATGCAGCCTATATTACAATATATAACACCGGTCAGCCATGGAGTGTTATATTGCAATTCAATCTGCGTGTTCCGGTCGATTTGAATATTCTAAAAAACAACGGGTCGAATACCGGCTTGTCTATCAAGGACAAGGTTGACATAAAGTAAAACGGAATATACTTACAATTTTCTTTGAAACATGAATTCGTTTGTAAATATATTTGAATGTAATATACTCAGCTCCGTTCTTAGATAAACGAAAGTATAAATTTCTACAATCAACTTGATTCAAACGAGGTGAACGACTTCACATGCACACATGTGTCTGTTAATTACAGTACACATACATGAGTGAATTTAAATTTAGGATAAAAAGTGTTTCCGGTGTCACTAGAACTTCCTTTCGTCTCGTCTAGATGAATATTAACAGCATGCAAATAAGGATTGATACGCTTCGATCGTGGCCATCTTGCTCTCGCTTTCCAGTTTACAATAAAAACAAAACAAGTAAAAAAGTGCATAAATAATTATTGCATGTATAGCCCCTATGGCTATGGCTCCACGCGACAATTGATTGACAATAAGGTGCATGCTATTCAATTTTATCCATGGCCATCAGTTATTTCTATGCAAGCGACTGCTTTGTAATTAATTAAATTCTAAAATTTTTGTTGGAAATTTAATAAATAAATGAATGATAAAATTAATAACTGCATGTCGCAGAAAGGCGTCGAAAATAATAAAGTAATAATAAGCATCGAATGCTACGAAAATCCGCAAACCACTTTCTGTCGTGATCGTGGAGAATAAATGTAGTAAGTGAATGAAAGCAGTGGAGATTGAACTTATCCCGACCAGATTCCCTGACAGAATTTAAAAACAACGAAGTGAATATATTTTTAAAACAATTTTCAGAATAAATTAAAAAGTTGTTTGTTATATATTGAAAAAGTCAGTTTAGGTTGCTATTCTATTTTGTTTCGAGGAATATGTCATTCTCGTTCATCTGTTTTGCCCGATAATTTGGGTAATTATTGCTTTCATAGCAGGCGTTTGTCATGTTGCACTCACCACGTCTCACCTTTTGGCTGTGACGGCGCATGTTTACGCATGCATTAAGCTCCTCTGAGTCAACTTTGTGAAATTACGTTGCCCTGAAGCTATACGAAAATGTAACCTAACTTATACCATAGGCTTCGTCTTTGAAAAGCGATAATACACGCGTCAACACACCTAATTTCATTTTTCAAGACAATTTTATCTAGATCTTGTATACGTAAAATAATTAGTATTTGCACCTGCATGCATGGCAAAAAAAAGAAATGTTTTTTGTGGACCCCAAAGGGATGTCATTAGTATATTTGCATTGAATATAGATAAATTGAAAAGCATCAGCGTTTTCCCAATTTACTAATGGAAAACCTGCAGTAGTTGACAATATACTATATGTAGTTGCATGTAAACATAGCTATATACCTGCTATAAAATGAATGGATACTTTTTAGGTAGAAATCAAATTGAAGACTTGAGAAGATTGAGACTAGAGAAATTAAAAATATTTTAGCATTTAGACAAGATGCGTGTTCTATTGTTTATGGCTATATATACTATTGCAATGATTCAGGTCTCTAAACAGTTCATACGCTGGAGCCTACAGTAATTGAAGAGTTTAATATATGCCCATAGGCATAGCTGGAAAGGTCGAGCTATTAAAAGTTGTAGCAAAATGTAGCTAACCAAATAAATATATGTCAACTACTTATGGCGTCTCAACTACCGGGGCTAAACGGATAAAGCGAAAGCCCGGGTGAATATAGAAACACTAATTTTCGAACCCTGAATAAAAAAAATATCGCATGGCATATACCATGTAACATTAAAGTCAGCATTGTTTCGAATAAATATCATTTACAGAAAACGGTTGTGGGTTCCCGCATAAGTTGAACTGTGGTTTAAATTGAAATTAAATGCGACTCTTATACGCAAACAAATTTAATGTTTTTAAATGTTTTTTTTTACCATTTCTTTATAGTTTGCAGTTTAAAAGACCTATAGTCTACATGGAATTGCTTTTTATGAGCCAATCGCTCCACGAAAACATATCTATACATGTATTTAAGTAAAACGGCAGTAGATTTGTGGCGTCTAATTTTTTAAGTTTGCATGATTTAGTATAGATTTATGTATCGTAATTAAACGCGCACGGCGCACGCATAAATCCATTTAGCTTATGTCGTATACACTCCTCGAGAAAATCATTTAACTAAAGCGTACTTACATAAAAACTCGAAAAGCCCAACGCAGATTTTCAAATTGGCTGCCTTCAGTATAATATTCGAAGTGTGTCAGATAGTTTAAATAACATGAACGTACGGTGTTATGAAAAGCAAATAATACCAAAGAAGACAATTTAAACTTGGAATTATACGGGTAACATGCTTAGAATGTTCCACCTGATAGGTGGAAAATTAATAAAATTAATGAAATTAAACTCTTACGTTTGACGTCAGAAAACTAGAAATATCCGTATATTCTGACTGGGGATGGGGTGGGGAGTTACATGGAGTGTATTTGTGATAACCGGAATTATAGGGCTTGCAAGGTGAAAAGATAGAAGATTCGAAAATTCGCAATAACCTTCTTTAATAACCGCAAGTCGTCAGGATAGGAAGCCGGGAGGGAAGGAAGAAGAGGATGCTCTAGGTTTCCGATTAAAGGTTGAAATTTGAGGTTGAGAGAAATACTCATATTACACGCATAGGTAGACGTCTTTTCCATGCAGTAGTGACGTACGTGTCACTGGAATTATGCATAAATTGTATGAGCGAATCCGGAAGATGTTGTTTATGAGCACATTTTTTTAAATGCAGGAATTTAAAACCAATTCATGATTGTGTCGTAAATCAAGTGCACAATATTCACAAATATAGGAAGGTGAAAGTGTCAGTATATACTTATACTATTTGCTATGTAGGAAGATGAAAAAAATGAAAGCTGAATAGTTGCAGGAAAGCTAGCGGTGAGCTAGACATCTATAATCTCACCTAAGGTTGGTTTTCTGTTGAAATTTGCACGTGGAGCCGTCGCTATAACGCATGTATAGACAGTGGCGTAACTAGAACAATAATTGGGTGGGTGGGTGGGTGGCTGGGGGTTTTGGG